TGGCGGTGGTAACGGTGGTGCGGGTCGCGGTGCAACAGCTGCCTTTCCTCCCTGTCAGTACCTGCCTCGCTACGGTCCCACTCAGGGACAGCGCTGCGACCAAACCACTCATGCCACAGAAACATGCTTCAAGGCACTCAGTGATGAGTGGTTTGCCCGTGGCAATACCGGCACCCCTCCTCGCTGGTCTGCCCTCAACCCACGCCCCACTCCCCTTGAAGCCCGTTCCTCTCCCCTCTATGAGCCTTCCTCCTCCACCCAGGCCCACCAGGCCCTTGCCCCTCCCCAGCAGCAGCAGCAGCAACAGCAGCAGCAGCAGCAGCAGCAGCAGCAGCTTGGGAGTCAGCAGCCGGGGTTACAGCAGTATGGGCAGCAGCTTCTCCTTTCTCAACTCCAGCAGCAGCTCCAGCATCTCCAGCAGCAGCTCGACCTACAGCCGCAGCTGCCCCTCCTCCCTCCTCCCGTTTCCCAGCAGCAGCCCTTTCCTACCTGGACTGCCGGGAGTGTTGCCTCCGCAGCCCATCTCTCAGGTGCATCTCCAGCGTCGTCTGCAGGTGGCAGTGTGACCGCTTTCCCCTCTTCTGGTTTAGTCGGTTTGCTAGGTCAATCTTAATCTGTTGCATCTCCCATGTACCCTTCCTCTGTTAATGAAACTTCGTTCCAGTACTCTGCCTCACCCTCCTCCACCCTTGACTTCGTCCTGGACAGTGGAGCCACTGACACTGTCCTTCGTGATGCTGGTACACTGCGCCCTCTCCCCACACCCACCTCCCTCCTCGGTGCTAATAGCAGTTTTTCTATCCCTTGTCACAACACTTCCACCCTTCCCTGTCCTCTCTTTCCCTCAGGTACTGTCACCGGTCTCCACATTCCCTCCCTACGCACTAACCTCCTCTCCCAAAGGTCCCTCCAACAAGCCAATATCACCACTGTCTTCCCAGGTGGTGCTAACTATTGTGCCTTTTACAATACTGCTACAGGTCGCCTTCTCTCTCGTATTCCCTCCAATCCTCGTTCCCGTCTGTACACCCTTCGGCTTCCCCGCCCCCCCACCTGTCAAGTCGCCTCTCCCTCTCTCCTCCCCCCCCCCCCTCCCCTCCCTCCCACTAACCCACCCCTCCCTCCCCGCCCCCCTGACTCTGACTGTTCCTGTCGCTCCCTCTCCCACCCTACCATCCTCCTCCATCACAGGCTAGGTCACCCTAACTTCGCTACTCTGCGCTCCTCTGTCTCCTCTAGTCTCCTCCACGGTCTCCCCTCCTCCCTCCCTCCCCTCCCCAAATCCCCTGCCCCCCCCTGCGCTGTCTGCATTCAGAGCAAGCTCAAGCAGCAGCCGCACTGGAGCTCCCCCTCCACTGCTGCACAGCCACTTGATCTTGTTCACAAGGACCTCTGGGGCCCTAATCCCTCTCCCACTCGCCAGGGTCATCGCTACCTTCTCGTGCTCGTTGATGATCACAGTCGGTACTCGTCCGTCTCTCTCCTTCGGACGAAGGCGGACGCCCTGTTCGCCGCCTTCACTCTGATGGTGGTGGTGAGTTCCTTAACAACCAAGTCTCCTCCTATTGTCAGTCTCGTGGCATTTTTCAGACTTACACCCTCCCTCACTCCCCATAGCAGAACGGTGTGGCTGAGAGTCGTGTTCGAGAGATCACCAAAACAACTCGGTGTCTTCTTGTCCACGCCTCCTGCCCCCCTTCTCTGTGGGGCTACGCCCTCCTTCATGCCGCCCTCCTTACTAACCTTTACCCTCACCCCCTTCTCCCTTCCACCACCCCCACTGAGCTGTGGACAAAGGACAAGCCTGATGTCTCATCTCTTCATGTCTGAGGCTCAAAGGCATATGTCCTTATTCATCCCTCTAACCGCTCCCGCTCCATGGGAAAGCTTGCCCCTCGCACCCTTCCCTGCATCTTCCTTGGTCATAACCCTACCTCACCTGACTACCTTTTCCTCCATCCCCCCTCAGGTCGTCTAGTCCGCAGTAGGGATGTGGTCTTTGATGAGTCCACTCCTTACTACTCCTCTCCCCCATCCACTGACCCACTCCCCCCTCTCACCCGTCCCCTTGTCTGGTCTGACACCACCCCACCCCCATTACTTCCTCCTCCCCCCATCCTCCCGCCTCCCCCCCCTCCGTCGTCCCCGTCCCACGGTGCCCCTCCCTCGCCTCGTGATATCTTTGACCCGGAACCTCTGTCCTCTCCGGTCTCCCCCACACATTCCTCTCCCAGTGCCCCTCCCCCCCTCCTCTCCCCTCCCTCGCCACCGATCCGTCCTTCCCCTCCTCCCCGCACCGTACTTACCCGGTACCCCCATACCAGGTCACGTGACGGTATCCTTGGTGCACCGCCCCCTGTTACCCTCTCTTCCTCTACCCTCCCCCCTCTCTCCCCTCTCCTTCACCACTTCTTCCAGGCTGTCTTGCATCAACCTCCTCCTGCAGCAGCCCCCTCTGCCTCCTGTCCCTCACCAGCAGCAGCGTCCGCAACGGCACCAGCAGCTGCACCAGCAGCAGGACCAGCAGCAGGACCAGCAGCGGCACCAGCAGCAGGACCAGCAGCGGCACCAGCAGCAGGACCAGCAGCGGCACCAGCAACGGCACCAGCAGCGGCACCAGCAGCGGCACCAGTAGCGGCACCAGCAGCGGCACCAGCATCGGCACCAGCAGCGGGACCAGCAGCGGCACCAGCATCGGCACCAGCAGCGGCACCAGCAGCAGCACCAACGGCCATCCCCGCCTTCCACACCTCCCTCTCTGAGGACTCCCATGAGTTCTTTGACCTCCACCTCTGTAACCCCTCGCTTCTACCCATCACATTCGACCTCTCCAGCACACCCGTCTTTGCTTTCTCCTCTGCTCCCTCCATTTTCATCCCTACCACGTATGCGGAGGCAATGGCTTGCCCCGACGCCCCTCTCTGGCTCGCCGCCATCATCAAGGAGCTCGAGGCCTTTATCGCCAACTCCTCCTTCGTTGATGTGCCTCGCCCTCCCGCCTCTACGAACGTGGTGAAGGGGAAGTGGGTGTTTCGCGTCAAGCAGCTGCCAGGGGAGCCGCCCGTCTACAAGGCTCGTTACTGTGCCAAGGGCTTCACGCAGCGGTATGCTGTTGACTTCTTCGATACCTTCTCCCCTACCGCCAAACCTGCTACCGTTCGAGCCGTGCTCGACCTCGCAGCTCGACCTCGCCGCTCGCCTAAATATGGTGATCCACTCGATGGACGTTTCTAACGCATTTTTGCAAGGCGTCCTCCGCGAGCTAATCTACATGGAGTGTCCAGCCGGCTTTCACCTTCCCTTCCCAGCTAACTCTGTCTGGCAGCTGCGTCGACCTGTGTATGGGCTCCGACAGGCCCCTAGGGAGTGGCATGCTAAGCTTGCCGCCACCCTTGCTGAACTTGGGTTTCGCACCTCCCGCTCCGACGCCAGCCTCTTCCTCCGCGCCCCCCCCTCCCCTTTCTACATCCTTGTGTATGTCAATGACATGATTCTGCTCACCGCCGACCTTGCTGAGTTGGAGCGTGTTAAGGCTGAGTTGGGTAGCCGTCTCAAGTGCAAGGACTTGGGAGAGCTGCAGCATTACCTAGGCATGACCATCACCCGCGATCGCTCCGCCCGCACCATCTCTCTCTCCCAGGTTCATTACTTGCAGCAGGTCTTGGAGCGGTTTGACATGGCCCGGGGCGGTGCCCAACATACTCCTCTTTCTGTCGGGCACCACCTCTCTCCACCCACCTCCCCCTCAACCTCCTCCTACCCTTATCCCGAGCTCGTCGGCTCCCTCATGTGCGCCATGGTCTCCACTCGCCCTAACCTTGCCTACCCCATCAGCGTCCTCGCTCGTTTTGTTGGCGCAGGCAAACATACGGAAGAGCACTGGCACGCCGCCAAGCGTATCCTCCGGTACCTTCGTGGCACCAAGGACTATGTCCTTACCCTTGGCGGGCCCTCTCCACCTCTCCTCAGCGGCTACAGTGACTCCTCCTGGGCTGATTCTCGGCCGGATCGTCGCTCCTCCCAGAGCCATGGCTTCTCTCTTGGCAGCGGCCTTATCAGCTGGCGCTCCACCCGCTCCTCGGCTATCGCCCTCTCTTCCTGCGAGGCGGAGTTATATGCCGCTACCATGGCTGCGCAAGAGGCCCGCTGGCTCACCTTCCTTCTTGAGGAACTTGGTGCCCCCTAGCACTGTCCCACCATCTGGTGTGACAATGCCAGTACCATTCACCTCACTAAGGATGCTGTGTTTCACGGGCGCTCCAAGCACATTGAGCTCCGTCATTTCTTCATTCGCGATCTTGTTCAGGCGGGGCACCTTCGGCTCGACAAGATTGACTCGGCGACCAACCTTGCCGACATCTTCACAAAAGCTCTTCCTCATGCGGCTCACTCTTCACTACTTCATCTCCTTGGCCTCACTCCTCCTAAGTCGCCTCCCACCTCTTGATTCTAGCTTTCTAGCCTTATGCATGTTGGGGGGTTGAGTTGTAATTTCATATTTTATACAACATACATAGGCTAGAATTAGATGTGTAGCACATTTATAAATTGGGGGGTTGTTTAGTGTACCCTCCAACCACATTTTGTGGTTGGTTGGGATTGGTCCTTAACTCAACCAATCCCAACCAGCACACATTTGTGGTTGCTTGGGCCACAAGCAAGCTCACCTATTGGTCAACATATTGGCCAATAGGGTAAGCTTCCCTCTCATCTCTCTCTTGCTCATTGTTTGTACTAAAGGGCCTCTTGGCTCATTATTCAATTGATCAATTCTCTCCTTCAACATAGACGACATGGAAGTGCAGCAACAGCGACACGATGGCCCACAGGGCGAGGACTTACCAAGGCATCTCTCAACAGCCAAAGTGGACACACACCTGGGAGCAGACGGGTAAGCGTGTGACAGAGTCCTAGCGCTTCATCTCCCTTGCAGTGTTCTGGAAGTGGAGGTAGACCGCATAGAAGAGCAGCAGCAGCGGCACGATGGCGCACACATTTGCTTAATTATTCTGAGCTGCCTCGAATCGCACCTGGGAGTAGACGGGAGAGCGCGTGACGGAGTCCCAGCGCTTCACCTCCCGTGCAGTGCTCTGGAAGTAGAGGTAGACGATGTAGAAGAGGAGCAGCAGTGGCACGATGGCCCAGAGGGCGACGGTGTTGAGAACGCCGATGAGAGCGAAGGTGGATAGCAGCTGGAATATGCCGCCCAGGCACAGCGACGTGTACTGCGCGAGATTCTTGTCTATGTCCGCTGTATCCTTGGTGAAGCGGTTGATCAGACGCCCAACCTGGAGTGGGGAGAGTGGGGAAGTAGGGAGATTGAGGGGAAGGGGAGTGGGATATGCCATTCAGACTCAGTGACGTGTACTGCGTGAGGTGACTTTTGAGTCAACTCAAAAGTCAACTAGTGACGTGTACTGCGCGAGGTTCATGCTGATGTCCGAGGGGAAAACGCAGTCCAGGCAGAGCCATGTGTCCTGTGTGAGATTCTTGTCAAAGGTGACCCATCTGCTCTTAGCGGATCAGTTTATCAAGAGGTGATCCACCTGCTCTTAGCGGATCAGTTTATCAAGGAGGCGAATCGGCATAGCAAAAACCGCCAGGAGAGGGGCAGAAGAGAGGGGAAGTGAAGGGTTGGAATGCTTGGAAGGGGCGATCGGGAAATATATGTCGGAAAAACTTGTGTGCAGGAGCTCATTCAGTACTCACAGGATATTTCAGTACACTTTACAGGAATATAGAAATCATGAATCACAGGTTTGGTGCGAGTCCATCCACACAGGAAGACATGGGACATGGGAGCTTGGAGATCACGACTCACGGGGTTGGTGTGAAAGAAGGACATGGGCACCATATTGGAGTTGGGGCATGGGCACTATTAAGAATTCTCAAAACTTGTGACTCACGGGGTTGGTGTGAAAGAAGGACATGGGGGCTCGCAGAATGGCTGCCAGCATGGCATCGTGCAGGCGACGAGCTGCTCTCTGGGAAGAAAACACCTGCAAGGTGCAGGAGGAGAGGAGAGGAGCAAGAAGGAAGAAGTGGGACGAGAAATAAAACGTCTGATGAAGTGGCGCTGAAGTAAGCGCTTCTTGAAAATGAATTCAAGGGCTATCAACCAATTGCCAACCACAAACATGAAAACTCAGCACATGACTCTTCCTTGTCATACATACTTTCTCCATGTACCAGCCAAGGATCGAGATTCATATCGGGAGTAGCAGCAAACCTTTAAAACACGCTTAAGCAAAAAGGATCAAGACTGTACAAACTCTTCCTAGAGATTCAAGAGAATCTCAAACCTTCAAACTCGAAAGAACCCAGTTTCGCAAGACGCTCCAACCCTAAACATGAGAACTCAGCACATGACTCTTCCTTTGTCATACATACTTTCTCCATGTACCAGCCAATCAAACAGTCAGCACAGAGAAAATTGATTGAGAAGCACCGACCAGCCCTTGGTCATACTAGAAGCACTGACCAGGAAGTATTGGTTGGCGAAGGTGAGCAGCACTTGGCCCAGCGAGATGAGCGAATACACCGCCACGAAGTACAGCGACCCTTGTCTCCCCCCACCCTCCTGAGACACGGACCCCGTCCAAACGCTGATCCACACGCTCGCCAGCACCCTGGCGGCCTCCACGAGCACGTAGAGCGAGATGAGCACTGCCAGCACGCCCGACCCCCCCATGGCCCTCACATACCGCCACACCACCGCTGCGCTCACCACCCCCTGCGCCTTCTCCTCCGCCTGCACTAGGGTTGTTCCCCCTGCTCCGCTCTTCCCCCCCTTCCCTGCTCCGCTTCTCTCCCCATTCCCTGCTCCGCTCTTCTCCCCAACTTGGTTGCTGCTGCTAGAAAAGCCGTTCTCTGCAGCAGCAGAACCCCCGCCACTACCACCACCACCACTGATGCTGCTGCTGCCAGACATTGCAGCAGCAGCTGCCGCTTCAGCGCTTGTCTCACTCCCACCGGCTGTTTCTCCTCCGTCCTTGCCCACCTCCGCGTCCCCATGCTCCTCCAGCGCGCCTGCCTTCTCCAGCAGCCTCTGGAACTTGGGTGCCGACGCCTTCAGCTGCCCATACGGCCCCTGCTCTGCTATGCGCCCCCCCTCCACCATCACCACCCAGTCCACAGCTGCAAGGGGGGACGAGGGTTCAAGGGGGGACGAGGGTTCAAGTGGGAGGGCGGGGGAAGTGAAGAAAAGGGATTGAGGAGGATGGAGGTGCAGCGACATCCCCTGCTCTGCTATGCCCCCCCTCTCCACCATCACCACCCAGTCAATGCGGGGGAGGGAGAGCGGGGAGGAGAGGTAGAGGACTCGAGCTGGTGGTTGAGGGCCCTGCTCCCATTCTGAGGCGTCTAAAAAGAGTTCCGAGGTGCCTCTCACGACTTGAGCTGGTAGAATTTTGAAGCGCCTCAAGTCAAAAGTCATGAAAAAAGAGTTCTGAGGCATCTCTCAGGAGACTTGAGCCGGTAGTGCAAGCGAGCCCTGATTGAATGCTGATCAGACAAACAGCTGTCTTATACATTTCACTGTACGAATTTCTCAGTTTTTGAAACGATTCGGTGGCGAGCGAGAGGGTCACCTGACAGGAAGTGCAGCTGGTTTGTGACCATGATGCGCGTGCGGCCGGCAAGCTCCGTCCTCACACACGTGTCGTACACCTGCATGCATGCATGCACACATGTGTACATGCCGACATGCATACATCCAGCATACATCCCACATGCACACATGCATACATGCCAACGTGCATGGATGGAGATTACAAAAAAATAGCGATGCCGATACAGAACACAAACACATAAGAAATATAAAAGGAGATGAATTGCATGTTGCACATCTGCACGCACAAACACAGATGAGATTATAAGCACGCACGCACATAAGCATGCATACATGAGCATTCACAGTCCAATGTCAATGGACAGTACAATGTCGATTGACAGTAGAATAAGAAAAACTACCCCACCTGCTTGGCGACATCGGCGTCGAGGGCGGAGAGTGGGTCGTCAAAGAGCCTGATTAGGAATTCCCACCCGAGCCCCAAGCCCCAAACCCCAGACTCCGAAGCCCAATCCCTGAAACCCCAAGCCCGGAGCTAGACATGAGCACAAGGGCGAACACCTGTTCGGTTCGCCTCGAAAGTTGGTTTTTTTTGCTTAAATTGTTCGCCAAACAGTGTTCGAGGTTCGCCCGAACACGTTCGTGTTCGGGCCGCTGCTGCAATTTGCCCCGCGATGAACACGAACGTGTTCGAGGTTCGCCCGAACACGCCTTCACAGGCGAACGGCGAACACCTGTTTTTGCTTAAAGTGTTCGCCGAACCGAACAGTGTTCGGTTCGGCAAACGGATGTGTTCGTGTAGGGGCGAACACGAACATGTTCGTGTTCGCCCCTTGCTCATCCCTACCCGGAGCATCAAAGCACGCACCTGCTTGGCGACGTGGGCGTCGAGGGCGGAGAGTGGGTCGTCAAAGAGGAACACATCGGCGACGGAGTAGACCGCTCTCGCGATGCTGATGCGCTGCTTCTGCCCCCCACTCACGTTCACACCCCTCTCGCCTATCTCCGTCAGGTCCCCCCCTGATGTTGTGCAAGAGGGGGTGAGTGGGATGGAATAGGAGAGGAAGTGAAGCGATACTTTTCATGGGCGTGAAACCACTCACGTTCACTCCCCAATCTCCTATCTCCGTCAGGTCCCCCCCTGGTGGCCCAGAGGAGGAAGGGTGGTGGGATTGGGAGAGAAGGGCAGGGAGGAGAGGGGAGGACAGGGGCAGTTCAGGAGTGATGAGGTTTTGCTGATGCGCTGCTTCTGCCACCCACTCACAGTCATCCCCCTCTCACCTATCTCCTGTCAGGTCCCCTCCTTGAGCAAGGTTGGGTGAGTGGGACAGACTAGAAGAGGGCTTGAAGCGATAGTGTTCAGGGCTGCCGAAACCACACACTCACGTTCGCCTCAACTATTTTTGAGGCGCCTAAAAAATCGCCTCAAAGATTTGAGGCGCCTCAAAAATTGCCTCAAAGATTTGAGGCGCCTCAAAAATCGGCTTGAAGCGATAATGCTCATGGGTGCCGAAACCACTCACGTTCGCCTTAACCCCTAAATTTTGGACCCCACAATCAAAACCCTAAAGCAGGGAAGAGGAGCGTAGAGGGCAGCAGAGGAGTGAACAAGCACTGATGCAAATGCATTGCTCTTCCTGCCCCCGCTTCATTCAACAGGGCACGGGACGCGCACCTGACAGTGGCAGCTTCAGGTCTCATTCAAGGGCGCTGGCTTTCACCCCCCGAGATGATGAGTGAGACAATTTCAAAATCATCTCCCTGTTGAAGGCACAGCCAAGTTCCCATTTTGTTGTCAACAAGGCACGGCACGGCTTGGCACACGCACCTGGCAGCAGCTCCAGGTGTCTCTCCAGGGCACCAAGGAATCGTCTCTTTCTGGCCCCAACTGCAGTTCTGCTTTTCCAGCACAAAACGCCGTGTTGAACATGGCACACACTCGCACCTGGCAGCAGCTCCAGGTCTCCCTCCAGGGCGCTGAAATGAACTGCTCATGATCAACAGTTAACTCCAAAATCATCCCTCCGGCCTGTCCTGTTTCCATTCCAATTTTCTCAACAAATCACACACTCGCACCTGGCAGCAGCTCCAGGTCTCTCTCCAGGGCGCTGACTTGGACTGCCCGCTCGTACCGCTGCTTGTCATAGGGCAGCCCGAACAAAATGTTGTCGCGCACTGTAGCGTTGAAGATCCAGGAGACCTGTGCGCCACATGCCACGTGGCAGCATGTCCATGGAGGAGAGGAATATGAGGAGGGCAGATAGAACATTGAAAGCATGAGATGGCTCAAGGAATGGGCAGATATAACAGACCAGTGAGTAAATATGCACTTGTGTACACCTATGTTATGAACAGCACTGTTAGGATGAGTTTATGAAAAAAAAAACAAAAAGCCAGATTGTGGCAGCATGGATGCGAGATGACTTTCTTGAAATGGGTACAAAACAAACCTGCGAGACATAGGCCACGCGGCCTCTGATGATTGGAGGAGAGTCCCCTGACACCATGGGCATCTCACCCAGCAGCGCACTGACCAGCGACGACTTGCCTTGCCCTGCCATGAGTTAGGCATGAAGTGGGGTGGGGGAGGGAGAGAGGCAACGTTAAGGGATGGGAACAATTAGAGGTAGGTTTTTCAGACCCGCGACACCATGGGCATCTCACCCAGCAGTGCACTGACCAACGACGGCTTGCCTTGCCCTGATGGGATGGGGTGGGATGGAATGGGGGAGGGACGCAAGAGTGAGGATGGCCTTCCAGTCCCCTGACACCATGGCCTCCCTGCTACTTCCCTGACCCGCCCTCACCCGCCCTCACCCGCCCTCACCTGCCCTGTTCGCCTTGCATGCCGTACCTGTGGCGCCCACAACAGCCACCAGCTTCCCAGGCTCCACCGATAGAGTCACATCCGTTAGTGTGCCCCCCACGTCCTTCTCCTTCCCCTCCCCTCCCACTCCACCCTTCTCCTTGCCTTCTCCCCCTCCTCCTGCCCCTCCCCCAGCAGCACCGTTGGCAGTAGCAGCAGTTGGAGCCCTGTTAGCAGCAGCAGTGGGAGCACTGTTAGCAGCGCTCCAGGCGAAGGAAGCATGGGAGACCTCGACTGCCGGCTTGGCCGGGTCGACGGGCGGCGCATGGGCGTCAATGTCTGTTTCGTCTGCCAGTAGCATCTCCTGCAGGCGCGTGAGAGACACTTTCACGTTCACCACCTGGTGGTGGGGTGCAACAGAAGGGTAGAGTGGGAGACACATTCACGTTCACCACCTGGTGTGTTGGAGAGTGTTGCAGATATTGTTGCAGGGAAAAAGATGGGAAGTGAAGAGATGAACAATAGGGGGAAGGGGCGCCGTCTCATGTCCCAACAGCATCTCCTGCAGGCGAGCTAGAAAGGGCACATCTCCTCAAACAAGATCTTCGAGGCACCTAAAAAATCATCTCAGTTCACGCGGTTTTTGAGAAGCCTCAAAAATTGCAGGCGAGTGAGAGAGGCGCATCTCCTCAAACAAGATCGGGGACAAGACAAGGGTACCCAATAAGAAGAACACATGCACTAATAAGACACTACACACTAATCTGGGGTAATATGGAGAAAAACGCGTCCTGCGTTTTGGACGCTAGCGTCCCGTGCGAATTTCTCCACATACCTCTGGGCGTGATAAGGTTGGGGACCAGACAAGACAGTACCCAGTCACAGAAGTCTGCACTAATAAGAGGTGGAACACTGACCTGGGTGATGAGGCTGGGGAACATGTGGAGGGGATAGTGCAGCACAGCGAAGAGGGAGATGGAGGTGAAGGCCTTGGCGGCTGTGAGCTGGTGGCCCAGCAGCGAGTAGCAGCCGAACGACACCACCGTCACCAGCACTGGCAGCACACTCATCAGCAGGAAGTTGATCTGGTGAGGGGTGGAGGGAGAGGAACGAGGGGGAAGGTAGAGTCTCCACTCACAAATCAGTGACACCAGTGTCACCAGCACCACCGTCACCAACACCAACAAGTATGTCCAAGTGGGCAGTTTCTCACATTTGATCTTAGAGGTCGTGGGTTCAACTCTCAGCAGTTGCACTTTCCATTCTCATTATGCTCACCATGATATGTCCACACTCCACCACACTCAGCTGCATTGTGGGTGAGTGTGGTGGAGTGTGGACATGTCATGGTGATCATAATGAGAATGGAAAATGCAGCTGCGAAGAATTGAACCCATGTCCTCTAAGACCAAAGGTGAGAAACTACCCACTGAGACGTATTTCTTGCACAACACACTAATCACTGTGCATCCGCTGCAGCACAGGACCTACTGTTATGGTGAACTGCGCCTTCATACCGCACACGACCTACCCCATCTCGTCCACTCCACCTTGTCATACCACACACAACCTACCGCCATGATGTATTGCGCCATCTGTCCCATCTCACCCTCTATCACACCGCACACAACCCACCGCCATGATGTATTGCGCCTTGGAAATCTGCCCCATCTCATCCACTCGAACGTGTGCCACCTTGCTCTGAAAGCTCCCCTCCCACGTGTACAACTTGACCACATCCATGGCTGCCAACACCTCGCTCATGAGCGCCACTCGCTTGTCGCTGCGCTGCAGTGATGCCTTCACCAGCTTCTGTACCCTATTCACTATCACCGCCTGATGTTTGCGGGGGAAGAGGGGCAGAGTGTGAGGAGGGGAAGGGAGAGAGGAGGGGAGAAGAGGGAGGACGGGAGAGGAGAGAGGATGGGAGGGGAGGAAAGAGAAGGAGAGAGATGAGGCGGGGAAAGATGAGATGTGTACGAATTGAAGACGTCCATGGCTGGCAGCACCTCGCTCATGAGCGCCACTCGCTTGTCGCTGCGCTGCAGAGATGCCTTCACCAGCTTCTGTACCCTGTTCACTATCACCGCCTGGTGGTGGGGAGAGAGGGTGAGGCGGGAGAGGGAGGGAGGCAGGGAGAGAGGAGGGTTGGGAGGAGGGAGGAGGGAAAGGAGGAGACGAAAGAGGAGGTTAGAGGCATGAGGAGAGCCACGGAGAATGAAAGGAAGAGAAGAATGTCAGAAGACCTGCACTGGGGATGCCAGATTGATCCTAGAGAAGGGTTACAGACACGTTTGTCTGGTGGTTTATGGACGCACTCGCCCGCTACTTAACAAGCTCCTTTACCCTAAACCCGAAACTCACTAATTGGAGTTTTTAGCTGACTTCTTGTGATTGCCTCTGATTCCCCCCCATCCATTCCTTGTTCATTTCGAATGTACGTAAGAGCCTTGAGCTCATTACTAATGCACCACTTCAAGCTCAATCTCTCACAAACTGTACCATACCATTAAAAGGAAGCAAACCAGGTCTCACTCACCTTGGCGGGGATCATGAGATGTCTCAAAAGCGAACCATCAGTCACAACCGCCAGGTTTCACTCACCTGGGCGAGGATCATGAGGAGCAGCATTAGCAGGCCGAGCACAGATGCCACCCCCAGCTGTTGGTAGAGTAGGAAGATGCAGACGAGGATTCTGAGAGGCGCCGACCAGAGGCCGTGCAGCTGCTGACACACCTGGGAGAGGGGAGAGAGCAGCATGAGAAAGGGAGAGGGTGATTATAGAGGAGTGAGAGAGCAATTCAACAGTTTTTATGCACTTTTGATAGACAAGGTAGACCAAAAATTATTGGTTCATTGTACTGCTGCTAGCGCCACAAACTAAAACGTGTCACAAAAACTGCATGCACCACACCACACCACACCGCCCCACCCCACACCGCACCGCACCGCACCACACCGCACTCGCATCTCATTGCACCGTACCATCTGCAGCGACTCAGCCTCGTTGGTCATCATGTTGGTGATGCGCCCCGTGCTGAAGCCCTGCCTGCCACTGTGACTCAGCCGCAGGGACTTGCTGAACACCTCTCCACCCCACACCACACCGCACTGCACCATACTTCACCGCACTTCACCGTACCATCTGCAGCGACTCAGCGTCGTTGGTCATCATGTTGGTGATGCGCCCCGTGCTGAAGCCCTGCCTGCCACTGTGACTCAGCCGCAGGGACTTGCTGAACACCGCAGCCACCTGCACATGGGACGGGTCACGGCACAGAAAAGAGGATGGCGGAGAAAAGGGGACACTGCTTAGCACAGCCACAGGGACTTGCTGAACACCGCTGCTACCTGCACATGGGACGGGTCACGGCACAGAAAGAGGATGGCGGAGAAAAGGGGACACTGCTTAGCACAGCCACAGGGACTTGCTGAACACCACTGCCACCTGCACATGGGACGGGTCACGGCACAGAAAAGAGGATGGCGGAGAAAAGGGGACACTGCTTAGCACAGCCACAGGGACTTGCTGAACACCGCTGCCACCTGTGCATAGAACAGCAGGACAGGATGGTGGGATAGGAGGAGTATATCGGTGGGTGGACTAGATTTGAGACAACTTCTCAAGGAAGAGGAGGTTGGGATGGGGAGACCATGGGGATGAAAAACTCATTGAACTCTTCTCACCCCATCGTTCTTGTCCATGCATACTTTTCTCGATTAGCAGACTGATTGTGAAGTGATAGTGGCATTTTGAGACGTCTCAAAATACAAATTTTATCACGTGGCTTTTCTCGATTAGCAGACTGATTGTGAAGTGATAGTGGCGGATATTGGACGTGGATGGGAAGGAATGTCGGGATAGGATAGAAGGCAAGGAAAAAAAGGGTGCAACCCCTCACAGTGCACAACCCCCCCAAGTGCACACCCCTCACACTGTACCCACCCCAGTGCAACCCCCACCCAGTGCAACCCCCCCCAGTGCAACCCCCCCCCACAGTGCACCCCCCCCAACAGTGCACCCCCCCACAGTGCACCCCCCCACACAGTACACCCCCCCCCCTAGTGCACCCGCCCCCAGTGCACCCTCCCCACAGTGCACCCTCCCCATAGTGCACTCTTCCCCCCATTGAACAGCACAGCACGCTACCGACCGACCACCCGTGGCCTGCCAACCAACATCATGACACCCCGCACCGCAGTGCACCACATAGAACCGCAGTGCACCGCACAGCACTTTCACAACATGCCTACCATGGCTTGTCGCAGCTGGAAGCCGACCCGCATGACATTCTGGAAGTACTGCGCCTCACAGATGACCCCTCCAACCTGGTGCAGGGAGGAGGGGTGATGTGCGGTGCTAGGGGGTTAATAGGGGTGGAGTGATTGTAGAAGTCGATCAAGCGCGCATGACACTCTGGAAGTACTGTGCCTCATAGATCACCCCGCCCACCTGGTGCCCAGGGGGTGCAGGAGAGGGGTGGTGTGCGGTGATACAGGATTAAACGGGGTGATGTGCGGTGCTAGGGTGTTAATGGGGGTGGAGTGATCATAGAAGCCTCTCAAGCCAAGGCACTCTGGAAGTAATGTGCCTCACAGATCACCCAGACAACCTGGTGCCCAGGGTTTGCAAGAGAGGGATGATGTGCGGTGCAAAGGGGTAAGTGGGGGTGGTGTGATCACGAAGTCTATTAAGCGCGCATGACATTTTGGAAGTACTGCGCCCCACAAATCACCCCGCCCACCTGGTGCCTGTTAAAGGGAGACTTGTAGCCATGGCTAAGAAGAAAAGTTGAAGTTGTATTAGCAAGAGTGTCGAGACACATTTGAAGAGAAGAATTGGAAAACCTTGATTGAACTTAGGGTGTGTTCAGGTTAAGCTAAAAACTACAAAATCGACCTAAACTGAACTCTAAAGTGTAACTCGCTCTAAACATGGCAAAATAACACAAGAACACCATGATAAACTCCAGAGCGAGCTGTCGTGAATCCTCCTCCTCTCCCATGAATCCTCCTCCTCTCCCATGAATCCTCCTCCTCTCCCATGAATCCTCCTCCTCTCCCATGAATCCTCCTCCTCTCCCATGAATCCTCCTCCTCTCCCATGAATCCTCCTCCTCTCTTCTCCTTCCCTCCTTTCCTCCCTGTCACTCACGCAGGTTCATCCCTCTTCCTCCTGGTGTACGCAATCCCCCTGTCCTACCCTCCTCCTTGCATCTCAGGCTTCCCAGAGAAGAACAGGTTCGACCTGGATCCAACAGGTGACTCGTCCAACAGAGCTCCAGCCTACTCCAACAGTGCCGAAGGCGCACGGGAGGGAGGGAAGGAGTGGTGGCAGACCAGACCCAGGAAGATGATGGTGGCATAGATGTAACCGTGGTTACCGTGCCACGCAGACTCGTCAAAAGGGATGCAGACCCCGGACTCCTAATCGTCCATGCATGGCGTGCCTTGGCTCGTAATAATACACCACATACCAGACCCAGGAAGATGATGGTGGCATAGATGTAACCATGCCATGCAGGCTCGCCCCTCGGCATGCCTGACCCACCCTTGACCCCTAATCCTCCATGCATGGTGTGCGTCAGCGCATAAAGGCACACAGCACACCAGGGTTACAAGGGTGTGCCTAGGGCTCATCATACCAGCCCCAGAAAGATGACGGTGGCATAGATGTAGCCGTGCCATGCAGGCTCGTTTGGCTGCGTGGCAGAGAGCAGAACCATCATCGTCCACAGTGTGCCTAGGTGCACCAAACACACACAATTAACCAGGAAGAGGATTGGTGTGGGCGCAACGTACCAGCCCCAGGAAGATGATGCTGGCATATATGTAGCCGTGCCATGCAGGCTCGCCCGACTGCATGGCTGACAGCAGGCGGCTGAGCATCAGCGGTCCCACGAACTGAGAGGCAACGTTGCCGATCTGATGGGGTGGGATGGGATGGGGATGGGGATGGGATGGGGATGGGGATGGGGATGGGGATGGGATGGGGATGGGGATGGGGATGGGATGGGATGGGGATGGGGATGGGGATGGGGATGGGGATGGGGATGGGGATGGGGATGGGGATGGGGATGGGGATGGGGATGGGGATGGGGACGGGGATGAGGATGGCGATGGGGATGCGGATGGGGATGGGGATGGGATGGGGATGGGGGATGGGGATGGGGATGGGGATGGGGATGGGGATGGGGATGGGGATGGGATGGGGATGGGGATGGGGATGGGATGGGGATGGGGATGGGGATGGGGATGGGGATGGGATGGGGATGGGGATGGGGATGGGATGGGATGGGGATGGGGATGGGGATGGGGATGGGGATGGGATGGGGATGGAGATGGGGATGGGGATGGGGATGGGGATGGGGATGGGGATGGGGATGGGGATGGGGATGGGGATGGGATGGGATGGGATGGGGATGGGGATGGGAATGGGGATGGGATGGGGATGGGGATGGGGATGGGGATGGGGATGGGGATGGGATGGGGATGGGGATGGGGATGGGGATGGGGATGGGGATGGGGATGGGATGGGGATGGGGATGGGGATGGGGATGGGGATGGGGATGGGGATGGGATGGAGATAGGGATGGGGATGGGGATGGGGATGGGGATGGGGATGGGGATGGGGATGGGGATGGGGATGGGATGGGGATGGGGATAGGGATGGGGATGGGGCCAGCAGCCAACAGGCAGGGATGCTTGAGCGGCCCCACCGACTGCATGGCTGAGAGCCGACTGCATGAACTGAGACGTGTCGTTGCCGATCTGATAGGGTGGTGCGATGTGGATGGAGATGGATAGCAACGGATACATGATGCAGGGATTGCAAAGGCATGCCATGTGATGGCATGGGATGTGATGGCATGGAATGGATGACACGAGTTGGCATGTAGTGGATGGCATGGGATGGAATAGGATGGCATGGGATGGCATAAGATGGCATGGAATGGTGGAAGGACTGGCACAAGAGACATGCTGGAGCACCCACAAAGGGAGGGCGGGTGGTGTTCTTGACACGAACCGATTTCTGACAGGCATGAGAGTGCAATGGTCAGCATGTAGCACGCAACTCTCCGTTTCCACGCAGGTTGAGTTTGAGACGTCTCAAAACTTGAGACAAAACAACTGGGCAGGCTTGAGATGAGAGTGCACTGGTCTGCATGTAGAATGCAGCTCTCCCTTGCCACTTTTGAGGCGCCTCACAAGTTGAATCAATTTTGAACGGGCATGAGATGAGAGTGCACTGGTCAGCATGTAGAATGCAGCTCTCCCTTTCCACGCAGGTTGAAAGGCCTAACTAGCAGTCAAGTGGGAAGAGGGAAGCATACCTTGTAGAAACCACCCCACCAGAACCTGTTAGTGATGAAAGATCGGGGAAGAATAGGGAAGAATAGGGAAGAATAGGGAAGAACACAGTGACGGGAAGGCAGAACAAGGGGGTGCGGGGGGTGGGGAAGGGGTGGTGAGATGGCATATGTGTGGTGCATGTGTAAGCGACCACAGGTATTGAAACAAACAAATCAAAACACGATGAAGGAGTTGTGAGATGGTATATATGTGTGGTGCATGTGTAGGCGACCACAAGTATGGGCTGACTTTTGATTCGACTCAAAAGTCAGCTCGTTACATTGTCACACAGATGTTTTTCTACAAGAAGTGGTATATGCGTGGTGCATGTTTTTCTTCTCTCCTCCCATACCTCCCATCCCTCCCCTCCCTCCCCTCCGTCTCTCCCTCCCATCCCTCCCTCCCTCCCATCCCTCCCATCCTTCCCACACATCCTCTCCCCTCACCGGCGGCCAAAGCAGGAGTGCAGGGCGCGCAGAAGCCAGGGCTTGGGGCGCCCCTTCTCTTCCCTCCACATGCGCTCAAACCTGCCGGGATTGGGCGGAGGCGAGAAAAAAGCCGAGTGGAGAGGCGAGGGAAAAGCTGAGTGGAGAGGCGAGAGAAAAGCGGAGTGGAGGGGCGAGAGAAAAGCGGAGTGTAGGGGCGAGTCGATAAGATTTTCGAGAGTGTCCATATGGGCAAACCAGGGCAGTCATGACCTTAGGGCATCCCTTTTCCTCCTTCCACTCACGCTCAAACTTGCCAGGGGGAGGGGTGGGGTGGAGATGAGGAGAGAGAGCGAAGACCAACATCGGCCGTCATCGCTCAGCTCAGCCGCCACACACATCACTGCCTCCAATGGACAAAACTTGGTGGGTGCACCCGCCATGTGTCAGTTAGGTGTCAGAGACAGGTCGCAGATTCCACACACACACACACACACACACACACATACACACACACACACACATACACACACACACACACACACGCGCGCGCGCGCGCGCTGTTATACACCGTGGCAGTGCGGTCACCACCATCATTCAGGCGCCACACATCGCTGTGCTTCAACGAGTAATTGGTCCCACTCATGTCCCACACACCCATAGACTCATAGACTCATAGACCCACAGACACACACACACACACACACACACACACACACACACACCTGCCATACACCGTGGCAGTGCAGTCGCCATCGTTCAGGCGCCACACGTCGCTGTCCTCCAACGGGCGACGGTACCCCAAAGCCATGAGAGGCGTCATCCACCCAAACGTCAGACCTGGGGGGGAGCAGGGAGGGGAAGGGAGGAGAGGGGAGAGGGGAGAGGGGAGAGGGGAGTTGATTGAGACATCTCGAAACATGGTACCCCATGGCCATGGGCGATCATTCCAATCCACCCAAACATCAGACCTATAAAGAGGAGGGGGGTGAGGAGGGGGGAGGGGGGACGGGGGGGTTGAGACATTTCAATTCAAAACGAGGTATTTCGTGGCCATGAGAGGCGACATCCACCCAAACGTCAGACCTAGGGGGAGGAGAGAGTGGGGAGGGGAAGGGGGGAAATGGGATCAGTAAAAGGGGAATTGCGGATTGGGACCAGTAAAGATGCTGCATTATAGAGGCGCCCCAAAAGGGGAATTGCGGATTGGGGCCAGTCAAGATGCTGCAAGACGGTTCCATCATGGGGCCAGTCAAGACACTCCTAGGGAAGGAGAAGGGTGCTGGCTCGGAGGAACTCAGTTACAGCTCAACAGCACCCTCTTCAGGTTTAACATGTAAGGTAAACGAAATGGGACCAGTCAAGATGCTGCATTATTGAGGCACCTCAAAAGGGGACGGGCGAAAGTGGGACCAGTTAAGATGCTGCAAGACTGTTCCATCCATTGGGTCATGCCACTCCTAGGGAAGGAGAAGGGTGCTGGCTTAGAGAAGCTCAATCACTACAGCTCAACAGCACCCTCTTCAGGCTTCACATGTAAGGTAAACGAATTTGAGGTTTGGGGTTTAGGGTTCAGATCAGAGGTCATGGCTGACGAAGCTCGGGTTTAAGCTGAGGTGCCACACGTGCACTGTTTGGGGTTTAAGGTGTAAGGTACAAAGGTATGGGCACTGGGGTTTAAGAAACAGGTGAGAGCTAACAGTACGGTTGATGAAGCTGGTGTGGTCTTCCGGGCACACCTGCCCCTGGTTGTCTCCTCCCTCCTCCTCCGCTGCTTCTCCTTCCACCCCACCCACAGGCCCTGCAGCCAAAGGCACATACCCCGCACCACCACCACTCTCTGCTGCCCTTGCTGCTGCTGCTGCTGCTGCTTCTGCAGGTGGCAAGAGCGGTGCTGCCTCTGCCTCTGCGGCTGCGAGGGCGGAGGAGGAGGAGAGGCCTGGCGAAGGGTGCTCTTGGGGGAGCAGGTTGGGGAAGAAGAAGAGCGCGAGTAAGCCTAGGAGCACCTGGGGTGAACATGAGGGAACAAGGGGGAAAAAAGGGGGTACAAGGGGGGTACAAGAGGAGGGGGGAGGAGGGAACGGGAGAGAGAGAGAGGGTGGAGGAGGAAAGGCAAGGGATGAAGGGATTAAGCAAGCAAGGTTGAAAGGGGAGCGGAAGGAGGGGGGGTGGAACGAGAGGGAGGAATAAGGACGACAAAGGAGAGGAAGAAGAAGCAGAGGAAGAAAAAGAGGGCCAACGTGACTAGAAAGACCTGAAGCATTCCAGGCGAACTTACGAACAAAGGAGATGCAAGGGAAGGGGCTGACTTTTGAGTCGACTCAAAAGTCAGAGGAAGAAAAAGAGGGCCAGCACGACTGAAAGACCTGAAGCATTCCAGGCGAACTCACGAACAACGGAGGGCGGGTGATCAGTGGGGGTGGGGGCTCGGCTCGGAGCGGTGGGTAAATGAGGAGAAAGAGGAAAAAAAAATGTGTCAGCTGAAAGAGTTATTGGAGGAGGGACTTTATGCAAGTGAACTGTCTCTCTGTTGCACATCTGTTGCATATCTGTTGCATATCTGTTGCATATCTGTTGCACATCTGTTGCATATCTGTTGCATATCTGTTGCATATCTGTTGCATATCTGTTGCACATCTGTTGCATATCTGTTGCACATCTGTTGCATCTCTGTTGCATATCTGTTGCATATCTGTTGCATCTCTGTTGCATATCTGTTGCACATCTGTTGCATATCTGTTGCATATCTGTTGCATATCTGTTGCATATCTGTTGCACATCTGTTGCATATCTGTTGCACATCTGTTGCATATCTGTTGCATATCTGTTGCATATCTGTTGCACATCTGTTGCATATCTGTTGCATATCTGTTGCATATCTGTTGCATATCTGTTGCATATCTGTTGCATATCTGTTCCACATCTGTTGCATATCTGTTGCATATCTGTTGCATATCTGTTGCACATCTGTTGCATATCTGTTGCACATCTGTTGCATATCTGTTGCACATCTGTTGCATATCTGTTGCAAACGTGGGAGAGCGTAAAGGGGAAGAATCAGGGTTCGGTCACCAGTTGTTAAGGGAATACAATAGGCAGAAAGCAATAAATGAGTGGAGTGGCTTTGAGAAATGATGATAATAAAATTGAAATATATATATATATATATATTTGAAGGCTACTCTTCACTTCACACACACTGTGCAGAAGAGGAATGTGAATGTAAAAACGAGCATGACTCGCTTGAACCACTCACTCTCACAGTGTGAATCCAAAATCTCCACCAGACAATGAGGCATATTCGGAGGATTCTCGCCTCTCAAAAACAAGCCTAAATCCACAATCACCAACTTTTGAGACGTCTCAAAAGTCAACTTTTGAGACGTCTCAAAAACAAGCCTACATCCACAATCAAAACTTGCCGTAACTCGGACGTTTTGGGCAGCTATTTCCAAACTCGTGGTGGATGTCAGCCATAAAGACTTTTGAGGCGTCTCAAAAGTCCACTTGCCATAACTCGGAAGATTTGGGCATCTATTCCCAAACTCGTGGTGAATGTCAGCAGCAGCAATGCACCCGCCAACAGTCAATCACCCCGTTACGTCACAATCACAATGTGACACTACCAGGGCATTCACGCCCAGGAATCGCCCTGCAAGATGGGAGCCCAGACGTCAGCAGCGTGGTCAGCTGCCGGGGCACTCACGCCTGGAAGCCCTGCTGCAGAATGAGCACGAATCTCAGCTTCGCCAGTTGCCCCACGTAGAGCACGGCGAAGCGCAGCATCCATGCACACCAGGTTACAAAGACATGCACCATCGCACTCCATCCCATGCAAAGCACTCACGCCTGGAAGCCCTGCTGCAGAATAAGCACAAGCCCTTGCCCCACCATCACAGTAGAGCACAGCGAAGCGAAGCGTAGTAACCACGCACTCAACAACTACTATTCTACAAAGAAATCACACACTCTTCCAGTGCACCGGTTTTGCATGTGTTTCATCCCAACCAGACCAGACCAGACCAGACCAGAGCACTCACGCCTGGAAGTCCTGCTGCAGAATGAGCATGAACCGAAGCTTTGCCAGCTGCCCCACCATCACGTAGAGCACCGCAAATCGCAGCAGCCATGCGTCCTTCACTGTCATGCGCCTTCTCTCCCAGAAGAGTGCCGTTGCTGTGAGCGCCCAGGCAAGAAACGCCAGGATCAAGGAGCAGACCTGCGGGAGAGCATGAGACAATTTGAGGGGAACAAAAAAAGGATATGGCAAGCTTAAACTCGCAGCAGCCATGCGCCCTTCACTACCATGCGCTTGCGCTCCCAGAAGAGTGCCGTTGCAGTGAGCGCCCAGGCGAGGAAGGCCAGGATCAAGGAGCAGACCTGAGTAGCAAGAGGGAAAAAGAAGGGAAATAGAGGATAGAGCCAGTCTGAAAAAAAAGGACAGAATCAAGGAGCAAGTCTGGCATTAGACCACACAAAGGAACCATGCGGAACCACGTGGAACCACGTTGAACCACGTTATTATTGTATTCATGGCAATAGCGACCACCTTTGAGGATCGCATAGTGAAAAGGAAGGAGTGCGGCTCTAACCTCATAAGGCAGTAAATTGGCATCTGCGGAGAAGGGGCTCAAGGACACGCGAGCGTGATTTTTTTATCTGCTCGTAAACCTTATGCCTTACCTCGTAAGGAGGCAGATCCGCATCTGTTGAGAAGGATATCAAGGACACGAGAGCGCTCGCTCAGCTGCCTTTTGAGTCGACTCAAAAGTCACCTTGCCACGTAAGCTGGGCCTTACCTCATAAGGCGGTAAATCCGCATCTGTAGAGAAAGAGCTCAGTGACACGCGAGCGCTCAGCTGCATCAGCGGGACCACCGCACACGTCAGCGCCAGTGCAGCAGCTGCCACGATCCCCCGCTCCCCGCGCCACCCGGGCGCAACCGCCCGCTGCTGCGCGCGCGGGGTGGTGTAGAGAACGTACAGCCGCAGCACGGCTAGAAGAATCATAGCGAGGTACGCTGTACCGAGTACGACAATGTCGATGAAGCAGGGCGTGAAAGCGCCTAGCTCGTTCGTAATTGACTCCCAAGATCCGTTAAACTGCGGCTTGCAGAACGAATCTACGAATTGCGGAGGCGGCGCCGGCGGCGGCGCGGCGGACGGGCCGAGAATTGCGGTGGAGACGGATGGAATGGGAGAGAATGCGGCGGCTGAGTAGTAAGGTTCGGAGAAATTGCCGCGCGAGATGGCGTCGATCGCGGCGTTTGCGGAGAAGTTGGCCCCAGAGGTCGCGGCGGACGACGCGGCGGTGAAGAAGGAAGTGGCATTACTGGATGGATGGAGGGAAAGCAAGGAGGTGAAACCGCTGGTGCCATCGTGGGAATCGGGAGGCGACAACAATGTCGACAACGACGCTGCTTCTGGCAGACCGCCGACGGTAGTGCTAATTGCTGCCTGGTGACTACTATCGGAGAGCCAGGCGAAGAGAAGCGAGGGGTAGGGAAGAACGGAGGGAGTCAGAGCCGCCATTGCGCCGCGCAGTGGCTACTTTCTGACCGCGGGTTCTGATGGCCGCGTCTGACCACCCCTAATGTCTCGTAACAGACTGTGTCGTTTTTCTCAAGCCCATAGAATTCGAATGCCTATGAAACAGTGGTTCTTGCAACGATAGCTAGTCCACAGTGTTTCTTGGCCTGCATTTTCCCACTCCACCCCACCAACAACGTGCAGAGGCAGTGGCGGCTGCGCCTCCGTCAAAGAAATTCCAGGATGCCAACAATGCTGCAGCAGCTGCATGAGCTGAATCCTAGGGTCTAAACAGGACGGCATGAGGAAGGAATATTTTACTACTTCATTCGGTTTCAGTGTAGACAAGTTTACTGTGGGCTGGAATGGATCTGTTAATGTTTTGATGGATCTGTTAATGTCGAGCTGTAACATGGAGCTAGTTCAAAAGCTCGTGTTGTGATTGGCCCAAGTTGTAGTTTGCGCGACACGCGCCACTCGTGGTCTACCTGCCACTAGATTGGCTCCGGTGTCAGTTCTGCTTCTGGCATGCCTGACTTCTGCGGCTCGCGCTACTAAAATTGAACGGTTCGTCCATTCGCTGTCAGTGCCTCCGCGTACCTGGGTTCTGGGGTTCTTCGGTTCGGCTTGTTTGTGTCAAACCAGACTCAAGGTGACTCGCTTTCAGGCTCGATTTGTTTCAGTAACCTCGATATTGCCCGAACCGACCAGTCTCATAAACAGCTTCCGTATCGTTCCCAACCTCCACGGAACCTGCAGAGCCCACCCCGCCCGCAGATTCTGTAGCGCAATAGCTTACACCAGTCAGCGATGATAGGTCCTCTTACCAGCCCGTGGAACCGAATTTATCAGATGCTGTCGTGGATCATAGGTGCCTAATATTCTCCCTCGTAATGCTCAGACAACTTATGTTCCGTGCTGAGTTGAATCTTTCAAGCACCCCACATCTGTGGCGGATGTGTGTGGTAGTCTCGACTACCGTAGAACAACGTACTGCTTCTCTCTGTTACATGAAGCTTCTTCCATTTTACACGCCTTATCTTCCGCGTTCTATAAAAATCAAGCCAGTTCTGGCTGGCACTCGCTCTCGTGGCAGTAGTAGTGAAGTCCGAGTTCTAACTTCTAAAGCGAATTCATTCTCGCCGAAAACAATCGAATGCGAGATGCGTTAGAGAAGACGTTGTCTTTGCAACGTCTATGAAACTCGCCTCTTGTTTCATCCATCGCTACACTCGGGACGCCGTTATCAAATACCCTTCTACGTGACGTTAGTCTTAAAATATTGTAATCAACTGTTCAAACATGGATTCGGCTGGGTCCTCTTCAACATCATCATCATCCCTTGAGGGGACTAACGGCCTGTCCCCCGGCTCCGCCGAATGTCTCCCGTTAGTCTCCACTGCCGTTCCCGCTTCCGAACACCCATCACCGACGTCCAACCAGCATTTGCATCAGCAAAACTCACTGAACCTATCTTCATGTCGCGACACTACTACCAGCGGGACTTGTAGTCATTCTGATGGCGCGAATCAGCGCTTCCTATCCACCTTCTTCGACCTCTCCGCCTTCTCCGCCGCCAATCGCGTCCACGCGCGAATCGCGTCTATTGTTTTCGCTCTGCTGCTCGCCGTAGCTGTTATTCTCGTAGTCCAATGGCCGCTAGGAGCTTCCCCGGAATTTATTCGCGTTATAGACAGAACTGATGTGGACTCTCCGTCGTACTATTCTGAAGGACCGATTCGTTTGGGTGCGTTGGATCGGCCATCGCGCAAGGCGAGCGTCTCGTCTCAGAGTTTCGCAGCTCTGATCGTGTCGTCGCCGTCGCCGTCGCCGTCGCCAGCGTCGTCGCGAGGTCACGCCGTCAATTTAAAGCTCGCGCCGCTGGATGGCAGTGTTTTGACTCAGAAAAGTTTCGTCCCAGAGCCGTTGGATGGCAGTGTTCGGAACAGTCTTGTCTCAGAGCCGTTGGATCTGGATTCATCTGACGGCCATGCAGAGCAGATGAGACCTCTCGAGTCCCAAACCTCCCAGCGTCTGGGTCCCGAAAAGAAGGCTCGAAACGACGCGGAGCCGGTCTTATCTCTCGACCGGGCTGGATCCAAAAAACAGAAAAGAGACCGCCAATGGCGCCGCGGACAGCGGAACTCGACGGGTCTCGTGGCGCTTGAGAAAGCAACGGCCAAGATTAGTTCTCTGGATGACCCTCTCGTAATCCAACAGCTGGACGTGGGCCATAAGGTCAAGTGGGAGACTGAGTGGCTTCCGGTCAGCCGGGCGGAATATTTCCATCCTGACCGGAAATATTTATTTGTGACGGGAAACCGGGACATGTGTGCGGGCGTGAAGCATTTCCGGACCAGCCTGTCGTGCCGAATCAAGGAGGCTCGGTATTTGAACCGGACGTTGGTGCTCGACATGCGCGTGTGCCTTAACCAAGTGCACAATAACGGGAAATTCGCGTACAAGGCAATTTACGAGCACATCGACATCTCGTCAATTGAGTACGTTTAGTTAGATTATGTCTGCTAAGTATCTCCGCAGAGTAACCCAGTTTCTCGCTCGTCTATCCCCTTCCACATCCTCACTGGTTGTGGTTGTCATATTGCTCTTCTTCCGTCTTCACGAGCTTCTAATTACACTCATTTTCTCGCTTGTCTACCCCCTTCCGCATGCTCTCGGTCTTCCCCACTTGTTACCAGAATGCCGTTCACTCCGCTGCAGGGCTTTCTTGAGGAGGCACTGGCATGGGGGAGGGAGAGAGCGGCTGGGGAGGCGCCGTTTGCAGTGCGTGTGGTTCGCAATTTGCCCTTCACCTGTTCGCAAGAGTGCTTATCCGTTTCTTTCTTCACCTCTTCCCTCTCCGACTTTCCTTCTCGTTACCAGAGTGCCGTTCACTCCGCTGCAGGGCTTTCTTGAGGAGGCACTGGCGTGGCGGAGGGAGAGAGGGGCTGGGGAGGCGCCGTTTGGGGTGCGTGTGGTGAAGCGAACGGCTAGCACTGCTACAGTGGCGCTCGATACAGTCACACCTCTGATCATACGTAACACTTCGTACGGCTACAGTACGTGCAAGGTGAGCCGCGGCTCGTATCCCACCCTGTTTCTGTCTGATACTCCTTGTGTAGCTCATCATACTCCTTGTATAGCGCCTCATACTCCTTGTATAGCGCCTCATACTCCTTGTTAAGCGCCTCATACTCCTTGTATAGCTCCGTGCTCACTTTTGAGAAGTCTCAAAAGTGATTCTCAAAATGCATGCGCAGTGGTGGCTACGTGCTCGCTGTGCCACTACTCCCCCCCGACCCCCACCCCCTTCAGCTACCGGGAACCCCCTCCAAGCTCCATGAGCAAGGGGGTTCCACCCGGTGTGGCTCGCACTGGCTGCTGCCATGTCCCGGTCGATGCACTGGAGGGTTGGCACACTTACTGTCATAATCCTCCCCCCACCAACCAACCCTTCCCCCACCCACCAATCCCCTTTAGCTACCAGGAACCCCCTCCAAGCTCCGTGAGCAAGGGGTTGGGTTCCGCCAGGTGTGGCTCGCACTGGCTGCCGCCATGTCCCAGTCGATGCAGGAGGGTGGCTTTTGAGTCGACTCAAACGCAGTCGATGCAGGGGGGTGGCTACGTGCTCCCTGTGCCTCTCTTTCCGGAAAGCATTGCGCCAATGCTCAACCCACCCACAATGCTCAACCCACCCACAATGCTCAACCCACCCACAATGCTCAACCCACCCACAATGCTAAACCCACCCACAATGCTCAACCCACCCACAATGCTTCTTCTGGAACCCCAACCCCTTCAGCTGCCAGGAACCCCCTTCAAGCTCCATGAGCAAGGGGTTGGGTTCCGCCCAGAGCTGCTCTCACTGGCTGCTGCCATCTCACGGTCGATGCAACGGGGGGTACTACACGCTTACACCTGCTTCTCTGCCCGTGCCAAGCCTTCTCCCAGCCGCCGATCCCTTCCAAGCTCACCAATGCTTTCCCCACCCCCTTCAGCTGCCAGGGTCACCCTTCAGGCTCCATGAGCAAATGTATTGTTTCCGCCCAGAGCTGCTGGCATGGCACTGGCTGCTGCCATGTCCCGGTGCATGCACACAGGCGACTGACTGCACGCTTACTCTGCCTCTCTGCTCTTGCCAATACTTTCCTCAAATTCCCAAAATCCCCGCCCTTCAGCTGCCAGGGACACCCTTCAAGCACGATGATCAAGGGGTTGCATTCGCCCAAAGGTGCTTTCACCGGCTTTTAAGGCGCCTCAAAAGGTTCCGCCCAGAGCTGGTCTCACTGGCTACTGCCTGTGCAAATGCATTTCCCGATGCTCCATCCCCTTCAGTTGCCAGGGACGCCCTTCAAGCACGATGATCAAGGGGTTGCGTTCCGCCCCGAGCTGCTGGCGCTGGCTGCTGCCATGTCCCAGTCGATGCACGGAGGGGACTACGATGCGGTGCATGTGAGGCGAGGAGACAAGGTTAACCCGCGCCTGTGGCCCCACCTTGACAACGACACGCAAGCAGCATCGTGAGTTGATCAGGGGCAAATGCTTTCTGAGTGGAGGTGTAGTTTGTCTGGTTTGATGTGTGGTTTGAGCCATGACAGTACTTGTGGTTGCGTTTCGACCAGAGCTGCTGGCGCTGGCTGCTGCCATGTCAGGGTCGATGCACGGGGGGGACTAAGATGCGGTGCATGTGAGGCGAGGAGACAAGGTTAACCCGCGCCTGTGGCCTCACCTTGACAATGACACGCAAGCAGCATTGTAAGTTTTCCAAGAGCATGTGCTATTTTTAGTTGACTTGAGGGTTCACGTGAGAGGTGACAAGCTCAACCCGCGCCTGTGGCCTCACCTTGATAACGACAGACAGTCAGAATCGTGAGTTGTGGTGAGTCGAACCAGAGGTGGTGGTATGTCAAAGCTGGAGGTGTGAGGTGGTTCTGTGCCTCAAGTACAGTACACTGTCACTATATTGAAAATTCCTGTGCCTCATGGTAAGGAGCCGAGTGTGCACATGCATTACGGGCAGATGCTCACATCACCACATCCCATGCAGCCGAATGCTCACGTCCCTGCAAACTATAGGGCAGAATTCTCACATCTTGGCATCCCACACAGCAATATTATCACATCCCCACATCCCATACAGCAAAGATTCTCACATCCCCACATCCCATGCAGCCGGATGCTCACGTCCCTACGTCCCATACAACAGCATGCCATCCGTCCGTTTCTGCACAGTTGTCACTGTAGCAACCGGATCCTCACATCCCATTTCATTCCCTGGAATCCTCTTTCCTTCCTCTGCACCACACACCTGCAGGCTACTGGAGAAGCTGCCCAAGTTCGTTGAACCTGGACGCACGCTGTACATCGCCACCAATGAGCACGCACCAGGTTTCTTTGACCCTTTGAAACGCCTCTATGACATTCGCCTGTGGCAAGACTTCAAGCACCTGTGGGTCCCGGGCACCATGTGGTATGATGGGTATGAGAAGATTTCCGGGGCTCATCCAACCATGGACACATACATGGAGGTACGTGCAATGCACGCTCCCTTTGTGTCCATTTCGTGCATACGGACGTATATATGCATACATGTGTTATTGCTTTCATTTTAACTGCTTGCGGGATCGGATCACTTTTTTTGCAGGTTATTGTTGAGTACTCTGTTGTGACATTGGCGAAGCGTGTTGTTGAGACTTTTAATGACTTGACAAGTGACGATGCGAGTGGGGCTAAATCGTAGGTGTTATTGTACTTGAAAGATGGTATTTATGAATGTCACGAGTGGTCGATTCCAATGGCATTCTGAAAGTAGAAATTGTTAGAAACTGAACTGTTTGAATAGGATCGTAGTCTTAGGATAGTAGCTTCCTGTAGCAGTGGAAGTCTTTTTATATGAGTGACTTGTAACAGGATCAAAGGTCTCTGAAATCAAGTATATAATAAAATGACAAGCATACAGAATATATAACTAGACTAAAGTACCTGTTCGCCTACTGTGCTGTATTTATTCGCGCTATTCCTGTTCTGAAAAGGTACGTGACTATTCGCGATACCTACAGCTACTGATGACGTCATCCTAAGGCGCGTAGCGCTTTGCTGACGTCAGTCTATCGGTACTTTTACTGTACTAACTATACGAATTCCTTGAAGTGCATAAGTCTCGACATTATCTCAACAGAAATCATTTCACAAGCAACAAACCCTGTATTGTCTGCTAGGGTGGCCTGTTTTGTCTCTTTATTGACAATATAAAGGGTACAAATGTACATGAGTCTCAAGGTTAAAGTGATAGCTAGCTAAGAGAAGCTATGCAAAGGAAACATCAAGAGTAGTCCCACATCTACCACATTCAGTAATCATTCCCCATGTACGCAAAGTCCGCTGCCGACGGAGGGGTAACCTCCGAAGGGGTGGTGCTGGTACCTACTGTGAACCGAACCTGAGCTCGCCTGCAGATCGTGCGGGCATGCACACGCTGGTGGACGAGGGAAATGCGCTTGTAGAAGCTGGTCTCGAACAGTTGTGGAACGAGGTCGGATGAATCGCTCATGTCACGAAGGCGCGAAGCACCACGACGACTGCCCAAAGGAAATCCTGGAATGACTTCCCAAAGCACCCAAAAGTCTCAAGCGTCAATGGAAGTAACTTGACGTCAGGCCGGTGTCAGAAGTAGTAGGAGTACGGCCTAGGCTTAGTAGCCTAGGCCACAGTAGGACTAGTAACGAGGAGCCAAGTACGAGCTAGGATTGTGTGCAGGAACAGAATTGAGAAGGAATGATTGAACTAGCAAGCAGCAGGATACAAATAGCAAACCCTAAAGGGCTGTACTCACTATAGAGTACCCCACTGCAGGCTACACAAACAACATATTCTGACACACCCCCATAGCCAAAGTGGGGTGTAATCAGCACAATGAGCAGTCATAGCAATAGTTCATAATTATCAGCAAAGCTAGAGGCTATCACAGAGGGCAAGTGAGGAGGAGGAGGGACTATGAAAGGAGAGAAGTTGGGAGGCGACGACTGAAGCTGCAGACACACGGGCAACAGAAGCGGCTGACACAGTGGCGGCTGACACAGTGGCTACTGAGACAGAGCGCCCCGGAATACTGGAGTAACTGGCTCTGCGGCTACGACGAGCGGCAGAATCAACGGACCCACGGGCGACTGGTGCAGCAGGCTCTCAGTGGCTACCGAGACAGTGCGTCCCGGAATACAGGAGTAACAGGCTCTGCGGCTGCGACGAGCGGCAGGAGCAACGGACCCACGGGCAACAGGTGCAGCAGGCTCTCTGAGCTACCAGGACAGTGCGCCCCGGACTACAGGTGCTGCGGACGACAAGACAGCAGCCTCCACTCAACCTCCCCCAACAGTCCCACACCCCTCTCACACACCCCCTGTTTCACCCCTAGCTCCATTCCCACATCACCCCCCTAGTGCCACTCCCCACGACTCCCACACCTCCACCCCCCTCAGCGGCAGCTGCAGCAGTGGGAGACGAAAAAGGAGGAGGGGAGAACCCACACCTCTCACCCCCATGCTCGCCACCCCACACCCCAACCACCGCGGAACGCACGGTGGAGTGGGAGCAATGGGCAGCACGGGGGGGGGGGGGGGGGGGGGTGGGGGGACGGGCTTCTGCAGGGGCGGCAGCTGCAGGTGCGGGCTGCTCCAGGGGCGGCTGCTGCAGGTGCGGGCTGCTCCAGGGGCGGCTGCTGCAAGTGTGGGCTGCTCCAGGAGCGGCTGCTGCAGGTGCGGGCTGCTCTAGGGGCGGCTGCTGCACTGGCGGGCGGCTCCAGGGGCGGCTGCTGCAGGTGCGGGCGGCTCCAGGGGCTGCTGCTGCAGTGGCGGGCGGCTCCAGTGGCGGCTGCTACAGGTGCGGGCTGCTCCAGGGGCGGCTGCTGCAAGTGTGGGCTGCTCCAGGAGCGGCTGCTGCAGGTGCGGGCTGCTCTAGGGGCGGCTGCTGCACTGGTGGGCGGCTGAAGGGGCGGCTGCTGCAGATGCGGGCGGCTCCAGGGGCTGCTGCTGCAGTGGCGGGCGGCTCCAGTGGCGGCCGCGGGGGGGGAAAACGCACGGCCCCCAGGGCGCCCCGAGGGGCGACGAGAAGGGAGCCGCGCGGCCCCCCCCGGGGCGCCGCGACGGGCACCAGGGAGGGCGCCGCGACGGGCCCCTAGAGCCACCTCGACGGGCGACGGGGAGGGCGCCGCGCGGGCCCCCCGAAGTCGCCTCGATGGGCGACGGGGAGGGCCGCGCACGGCCCCCGAAGTCGCCACGACGGGCGACGGGGAGGGCGCCACGCACGGCCCCCGAAGTCGCCTCGACGGGCGACGGGAGGGGACCGCGCGCGGCCCCCGTGGTCGCCACGACGGGCGACTGGTGGGGAGGCCGCGCGGGCCCCCAAGGTCGCCTCGACGGGCGACGGGAGGGGAGGCCGCGCGGGTCCCCGAGGTCGCCTCGACGGGCGACGGGGGTGGAGGCCGCGCGGGTCCCCGAGAGCGCCTCGACGGGCGCTTCGACGGGAGGGGACCGCGGAGGCCCCCCCAAGGGCACCACGACGGGCGCCACGGAAGGGAAAACCGCCAGGCGCCCCGAGCGCGCGGCGGGCAGAAATTAGGGTTTCGCCGCCGCGCACCACGGGGCGCGCGGCGGACAGTACGGCAGCGGAAGCGGGTGGTGGGCCCATACACAGGAAGGCGGCAGACATGCCGCCCTCTGATACCATGTCAGAAGTAGTAGGAGTACGGCCTAGGCTTAGTAGCCTAGGCCACAGTAGGACTAGTAACGAGGAGCCAAGTACGAGCTAGGATTGTGTGCAGGAACAGAATTGAGAAGGAATGATTGAACTAGCAAGCAGCAGGATACAAATAGCAAACCCTAAGGGGCTGTACTCACTATAGAGTACCCCACTGCAGGCTACACAAACAACATATTCTGACAGCCGGGTGCGCATGGATGATGCGTACAGCGTGGTCTTCTAAGTTTCGCGTGTGGCAGCGGCAGAGCCAATCACGGTAGCAGCATTAGAGTGGGGGAAGCCTTGCTGCGGATCGGCTACTGAAATGTCCAAAGCCAAGGTGGAGCCGGCTTGGATGTCTCTGCAGGTGATGTCGGGGCGGCGGCCTGGAAGGAGGTGGTGGTCTTCCAGCTGTGCCACAAGGCCGAGCTCCAAGGTGATGCGGTGCAGTTCGTGCTTGATGGCGTCGTGCACTCTGGTAGGCTCGTTGTTCTTGGGGCAGCGTAGGGCATGGGATGGGAGGGAGGAGTCTGAGAAAGAGTGTCCACAACCGCAAGATTCAGCAGAGCTGAGGTGAGGAATGGGACGGCCGAGGCGGATAGCAGCAGCAATGCGCCATTCAGATTCAGTGAGCTGCAGCTGAGGCGAGGAAGGAGCCGCAGTAAGCCAATTCCCCGCATGCGGGCCCTGAAGGGAGGTTAAACGGGCCAGGCGAAGAGGGGAAGTGACATTCGCGCGAACTTTCTCGAGAAAAGAAGCCTCAAGCTGCTGCGAGAGGTGAGTGAAGAGTTTGGGGGGGGTAGCCGGGTAGAAGATGAGACCAGGAAGGGAAACGGTAAAGAACTTATTTGGGGAGCATCGCAGTGGCAGCTGGGATGAACTCGTCGAGGCGATGAATGGTGTCGGAAGAGAGAAAGGGGCGGAAAAGCGGTGAGCCGTTAGTGATGAAGTGTGTGGACAGTAGTGGAAGCGACCGTGCCCAGCTGCAGAGGTAGCTGAGAGGTGCTGTAGAGGTGGAGGAACGAAGGCCAAAGCCTCCAAGGCGAATAGGAAGGAAGACTTGTTGCTGCGCCGTCTTGGTTTTCTCCGTGTCTGGGATCCAAAAATCAGGGCCAAAAAGCTGGGTGAAGTGGTCCAGAATGGTAGAGTCCCAAGATCTGAAGAGGTCATGTATCTCTAGGAATGGCGAAACAGTCCGGAGGAGGAAGGAAGGACAGGCTGATACGCACTGAGAGAGGATGCGGGAGGCAGTCTAAGGGTCATGAAGCTGATGAAGAAGAGGAAGAGAGGAAGCAAATGAGTCGAGCTTCTCCTGTACTATGGAGATGATGTAGCCGTTTGAGCCAATCGGGACCCCTGCAACGTTGAGGCCGTAGGGAGCGATAGGAACACCCGAAGGGGTTGCGCAGTCCTGAGGCCAGTCAAGAGGGCACCAGATGGAACATTTCGAGGGCTGGACTGTAAGGCCCAAGGAATGAAGGCGGTCGGTCAGAGCAGTGAAAGCAGCAGTGATAGTTGAGGGAGGGCCGACGAGGAAGGTGTCGTTAGCGTAAGAGGAGATGAAGATGGATGGAAACTGGTTTTGAGTGGGAAGAATGGCAAGCTGCTAGGTGATGGCATAGAGAAAGGGGCCACAGGGGTCCCCCTGGCGCACGCCCGAGGCGGACTCGAATGTATGGAGGGTTGGGCCACTGCGGTAGTGAAGGGGAGACGGGGAGGAGTAGAAGAGGCTGAAGTAGGGAATGAGAGGAGAGAAAGCCGAGGAGCGGAGAGCCTTGAACATGGCAGTCCTGTTAAAAGAGTTGAAGGCGTTAGCTACGTCGAGCTGAAGCACCGCCCAATCAGGATGAAGAGAAAGGGTTGACTGTACGGCGTGCGGCATCACCTCTATGCCAGCAGGAACCGCGACCCCGAACTGCAGGCAAGGAAGGAAGGTGTCCCGCATGTGCTGCTTGAACATGAGGGTGATGTAGTGGGAAAGAAGGCGCGGGAGAACCTCTCCAATAGCAATTGGTCAGACCCCGCCTTGCGGCTTCTTAAGGGCGACGAGGGTAGATGCAGTGTAGTAGGAGCGGACTGAGAGTGGGAGCTCGCCCTGCAGCCAGTTTTGGAAGAGGCGGAGGAGGGAGGGAAGGTGCTGCTGGGAAGAAAGGAAGGTGTCTCTGAGGTGCTCAATCAACCAACCCGAAGGGCCAGCAACGGTACATCGTGGAGCTGATCGAAGAGCCAAGTGGAGGAGCGGGGCTGAAAGCTGTGGATAAGAGTTTGGGGTGAAGGTGGATATCCATTGAGGAAGAGGCTGTGGGGCAGGTGGATGCTTGGAAGAGATAGAAGAGATGGTTTCAGGGGAAGGGGGTGCGAACTCACTGGCTTCCAATGCTGCCAAGGAGAGAGACCAGTCGCCGCATTTGGCAAATCGCGCTGCACGATGGAGGCGAGCCTGCGTGGCTGTAGAGCGTGCTGAAGCAAGGTTGAGAGAGCGAGCAGCAGGGGTGGCAGCGGCAGAGGCTTCAAGGAAAAGCGCATGCCAGTCCCCACTGATAAAGCGCTGAGCAAGAAGGGCGCATGCTGCGGTAAGCGATTGCGAAGGGGCAGCTGCAGTTAGGCGGAGGACGAGGCGCGGAAAAGCAAGCAGAATAAGACGCGCAGCAGTGTCAGAGGGATGCTGTGCAAGCCGTCGAAGGGGGATAAGCATGGCATCAAGCACGAGAAGGCGAATGCGAGGAGGAATGCGGCGGATGATGGGTCTGGGAGAAACTGTCGAGCTGAAGAAAGCAGGCCAATCCCACTCAAGGACAGCATCCCAGGTGGCGGAAGGGATTGCTGACGGAGAGGAGGACTGTGCAGATGCAGTTTGAGCGCGAGGAGGGGCGGGGCGCGGAGGAGGGCAAGCAGCTTGCTGCCTGGCAGTAGAGTTTTGTTGGCAGGAATTGGTATGGCGAGTCAAGGCACCAGCATTGGCGCAAGGGCGGCGGCATATAGGGCAGGAAAAAGAGCGAGCAGCAGGAGGAGGATTGATGGGAGTAGTCGCCGCGGGGGAAGTAGAAGAGGGTAGGGGAGGGGTGGGGGAAGGAGGAGGATCATCAGTGTAATGCGAGAGAGGGTGCTGATCGTCAGAAATGGCAGCTGGGGTGGCGTGGTCTGTTGAGTGAGCGTCTCGAGCAGAGGAAGAGGTGGAGTGAGTCGTCGAAGGATGGGGTGGCTGTGCCGAAGCCATGGTGTCCGCAATGACTTGGTGAAGGGCGTCCTTCTGTTTTTGGGAGATAATAGGAGGCCTAACATGAGGACGAGAGCTGTGTGAAGAAGGAGGAGGAGGCGGGGGTTGAAGTAAGGTGTGCTGTTGGTTAGAAGAAGAGGGTGTCGGTAAGCATGGCGGAAGAGGAACATGAACAGTAGCGAAAGGAAGGGAAGGACGAGAACGAGTTGTGGACGAGGACGGGGCTGTTGCAGCGAGGTTTGGGGGCCGGTTTCTCTTGCGAGAAGTCATGGGTGGCTAGAATGGGATGGAAAATGTAATCTGTATGGTGGAAGAGTGTAGCAGCACACCATTTAAGCGGGAAATGTGGCAGGCATGAAACGTAGGAGTAGTTGCGGGGGAAAATGCAGCGATCTCAGGAATCCGCCGAAACAACACGTACGCGACACCTAAGCCGAGTTCTAAACACACCCGAGCACGGAAAACGAGGCCGAGTTCTCTGGAGGGGGCTGCGAGCTGAACTAAGAAAATCTGTTGTCACGCCAGTAGGGCTACGTTGTGGGGTGCAGTTTAGTAAGTTCTGCTAGCAGGGTCGTGCAAGCTAAGTGCGCGAGCGGAAGGTCGTCGGCTTTGGGCGGGATGACGTGCTACACTCGGAATGGCAAAAAACGTGCTGCTGTGCTGCCAAGTTGCGAACAGACTTGAGGGTATTTAGAAAGTAGTGGTGCGAGGTTTTCCGCTCCTAGACGGGTAGTGAGTTCTTGTTGCTTTTCAGTAGCGCGTGAGCAGCAAGACGAACTACTATTTTTCGAAAGCTGCAGGTCGTTTTATACTAGCGCCAGCGAGATAGCGTGAGGAGCAGTCAAACAACTGTTTTTCGAAAGCTGCAGGTCGTTCTATAATAGCGCCAGCGAGATAGCGTGAGGAGCAGTCAAACTACTATTTTTCGAAAGCTGCCGGTCGTTTTATACTAACGCCAGCGAGATAGTGTGAGGAGCAGTCAAACTACTATTTTTCGAAAGCTGTAGGTCATTTTATACTAGCGCCAGCGAGATAGCATGAGGAGCAGTCAAACTACTATTTTTCGAAAGCTGCAGGTCGTTTTATACTAGCGCCAGCTAGATAGCTTTGTTTGTCTGGTTGATCAACCGTAAGCCGGCAACCAGCTGCCATCTTGAATGGCAGAGCATGCTGGTGGGTGTGTGCAAGTGTGTGTACTAGATGTGCATGCATGCGTGCGTGTGTGCGTGCGCGCGCGCGTGTCTGTGTGCGTTCTGTGTGCCTCTGTTTGTACATGCGTGCGCGTGCGTGTGTGCATGCGCGCACCACATGCATATGGTACGGATTGATTCAGCATGTGCCACCTTTGGGATAAAAACATGCATACTGACCTGGATAACACTTCCCTTCCCCCACCTTTCGTATTCTTGAGACTTTTATTTTCCCTCCCACTCAATACTCACAAAGAACGCACTGGCCTCATAAAGCCATGACCCCACATGGTAATCATCACCTGGGCCAAACCCCTAGACCTATAGGGAAGGTCGTTTCGCCCCTTCTCTCTCACACTGCCTGGTGCCTCCTGTCGTACCTTCTCTAATGCTGCTATCCCAGCTACTGTCTGCTGCTGCTCCCTTGCTTCCCGTCCAGTTTCGACTCTCGCTCCTCCTTTGCTTTCCTTCCAGTTTCTACTCTCTTACTCCTCCCTTGCTCCCTTCACGTTGCAGCCCCATGTGCTCCGCTGCCCCCTTTCCGTTCCAGCTACATCCCACCCTGCCTCCTTTCTGGCCCAGTCACATCTGCCCCCCTGCCCCCTTTCCATCCCAACCTTTCCTGCCCTTGCTGCTGCCGGACCTTCCACAAATGCTGCTACTAGGGTGGGCAACGGTTGTCAGAGAGTTGGATGATTCGGCTGATCAAACCGTGTCTTGATGTCAGCGCTCACAGCAGCCACGCTGTCTGGAACAGCAAGAAATAGACCGAGGAAACCAAATTTGCATGTGGAAAAACGTAATGTCAAAAGCGCTCCCAGGTGGGCTTGAACCACCGACCTTATGGATAACAGCCATACGCTCTAACCAACTGAGCTACGAGAGCTGGCGTCGAAAGACGACTACAAAACTTAGATAAAATTATTTTGTACGTCGTAATTTCGAGGAGCTTGGGAAGTCGCTATTTTACTGTACATGCTGACCTCACACGCCGTTCTGTGGCCAGTGCTGCACTGTTATCTGCCAGGTGGACGTGTATGCATGGCTTGTTTATTTTCACTGTGGGCCCGCTTGTTGGGCATATGACTTGCCATTGTTCACCTTGTTCTTTCGTCTGTCCGAACACTGGTCGACCAACAATAGAAAACATAATTTCGTACACTTCAACCTTCATGACCAATTTGTATGTACTAGCAGACCTAAATGACGATAATTGACTGTTTTGGAGCATGCCCTGCCCGTAAAAGAAGCTTGGGCCTTTTGCTAAAAATGCTGCCTTGATCTTGTCGTGCGTGTCATTGGCCTGGCTTCGTTCTCGTTTTGATTGGTTTAGGTCTGGTTGCATTTGGTGATTCTGTTACATAGCCTTATCAATTTCACTGGTCACTAGGGTGCTGCTCACTCAGACACTGCTCCTAGCAGCTTGGGATTCATTTCTTTTGTTGCAATGGGAGCTCCAACCAGACTAGAGTTTTAGTCTGTCTTTGGTGTTGGTAGTCTCTAGTTTCGCGCCATGGCTCCCTGTAATCTAGCTCTTATTGCAAGAAACAAATGTCATGACATTCGAATTCGATAGAAGTAGGAAGAATATATGTATGCGATACTGGTAGTGTGTTTATAGTAGTGTCGGGAGTACGTCCACTACGTGTTAATTTTAGAGATGATCCCGTCCGCGATTGGAGGTCAGAACAGATCCGACGAGAATCAAAAGCGATAAAATCGACGAATTCTGTTAGGAGAGGTTGGGGGTGGTCAAACGTGGCAATCAGAACCCGCGGTCAGAAAGCAGCCTTTGCGCGGCGCAATGGCGCCTCTGACTTCCTCCGTCCTTCCCTACCCCTCGCTTCTCTTCCCATGGCTCTCCGATAATAGTCGCCTCGCAACGATTACCACTACTGTCAGCGGTTTGTCAGCAGCAGCGTCATTGTCGTCTCCCGATTCCCACGATGGCACCGGCGGTTTCACCTCCTTGCTTTCCCTCCATCCATCCACCACTAATGTTACCTCCTTCCTTACCGCCGCGTCTTCCGCCGCGAATTCCGGCGCCAATCTCTCCGAAACCGACACCGCGATGGCCGCAATCGGCGCCGCCTCGCGCGGCAATTTCGCCCAACTTTTCTCATCCGTCGCATTCTCTCCCTTTCCGACCGTCTCCTCCGCACTTCTCGGCCCGTCCGCCGCGCCGCCGCCGCAGCCGCCGGCGCCGCCTCCGCAGTTCGTAGATTCGTTCTGCAAGCCGCAGTTTAACGGATCATGGGAATCAATCACGAACGAGTTAGGCGCTTTCACGCCCTGCTTCATCGACATTATCGTACTCGGTACAGCGTACCTCGCTATGATTCTTCTAGCCGTGCTGCGGCTGTACGTTCTCTACACCACCCCGCGCGCGCAGCAGCGGGCGGTTGCGCCCGGGTGGCGCGGGGAGCGGGGGATCGTGGCGGCTGCCGCGCTGGCGCTGACGTGTGCGGTGGTCCCGCTGATGCAGCTGAGCGCTCGCGTGTCACTGAGCTCTTTCTCTACAGATGCGGACCTGCCGCCTTACGAGGTAAGAGCCTTACGAGGTAAAGCATGCGGTTCTTTGAGTCGACTAAAAAATCCCGCTCGCGTGTCACTGAGCTCCGTCTCCACAGATGCGGATCTGCCGCCTTACGAGGTACCGCACGCCTGGTGTGGTTCAGTTTCCCAATGCGTTACGACCTTGCTGTTTCTTAGCCCAGATCTGTTTCGTAATGCTCTTGTTCCCCGCTGAGACCCTCTCTTCTGCAATTCTCTTCTGGGGCTGTCATGTTCTCAACTCTCTGGTTTCTATTCGCATCTCAAATAGATGATGGGCCTGATTTGCAGTCGTGTGGATCGTGTAGATGTGCTCACGTCCACGGCGCTCGCCTGCAAGCAGATTTCATTAAGGATGCACGCCGTATGCGGCCTTCGTGTGGATCTTGTGGGCTGATGCCTCTCTCGTCTTTTTTTTTGTTTTTTTTTCTCATTTCCTCACGAAGTTTGCTCTTTGATCTTCACCTTCCTCACGTATAGCGCTCACCCCGCGGCCCCTTTCTGGGAGCCGCAGGCGCATGGCGGTGAAGAGCGCATGCTAGATCCCGGGGCACGTGGCTGCTGCACTTTAATTTAGTCTTGCTACTTCCACTGCTGTTCCCCTCCAATTATCATGTTCCTCAGCTTTGCTTCGTGATCCTCGCGTTCCTCGCCTGGGCCCTCACCGCCACGGCGCTCTTCTGGGAGTGCAGGCGCATGGCGGTGAAGGATGTGTGGCTGCTGCAGTTGAAGCTACTTTCTTCCTGCTCTCCTCATCGCAATTCTATCCCATGCTTTTCCAGATTTGCTCCTCGATCCTGGCCTTCCTCACCTGGGTGCTCAATGCAACCGCGCTCTTCAGGGAGCGCAGGCGTATGGCAGTGACCGTCGTTTGGTTGCTACGTATCAATATCACTGTTTCACGCTCTCCTCATTTCCACTCTATCCCTTGCTCTGCCAGGTCTGCTCCTTGATCCTTGCATTCCTCGCCTGGGCGCTCACTGCAACCGTGCTCTTCAGGGAGCGCAGGCGCATGGCAGTGACCGTCGTATGGTATGGTTGCCATGCCACGTATCAATCTCACTGTTTCATGCTTCCCTCATTTCAACTCTATCCCTTGCGCTGCCAGGTTTGCTCCTTGATCCTGGCGTTCCTTGCCTGGGCGCTCACTGCCACGGCGCTCTTCTGGGAGCGCAAGCGCATGGCAGTGAAGGGCGCATGGCTGCTGCGATTCGCAGTGCTCTACGTGATGGTGGGGCAGCTGGCGAAGCTGAGATTCGTGCTCATACTCCAGCAGGACTTCCAGGCGTGAGTACTTTGGATGGATGGAGTGTTCTTGTAGCCCGGTGCATGACTGCTGTAGTTCGTGCTAATTTTCTCTACTCCACAGTTACGGGTTTGTGTGTGTGTGTGTGTGTGTGTGTGTGTGTGTGTGTGTGGATGTGTGTATGTTCTGATTTCTTTTTGTTTTTGTTTTTGTTTTTTTTTGTGTTTTTTTGTTACTAAACCCTGATTCTTCCCCTTGCGTTCTTCCCTTCTGCATCCTTTCCTTCCTTACCAGTTTCTTTGTGGAGCTTTTCTTTGGCTACACATCAGCTCATGTAAGTGTTTGTATTTCAACGTTTATTTAGAATAAGAGTCCTACTTAGTTAAGTGCCTGTAGGTTTCGTTCTAGTCAAGCAAAGGCAGTGCAGGCAGGCTGCACCTTATGCAAAGGCTCTCCTCCACTACTCCTGCAGCGGACAAAAGTTCGCCTGCTCCACCCACCCCTCCCTCCTCCGAGTCCCCCTTCTGCTCACCCCACTTGCTCCTCCTCCCACCCTCCCATCCCATTCTCCCCTGACTGCTCACTCCCCTCCGTGTCCCCTCTTTGTGCCCCCTTGCTTGCACCCCTAGGTCCTCCTGGGTCTGCTCGCCCTCTTCTTCTTCCCCAACCTGCTCCCGCTTGAGCATGCCTCGTCGGGATTCTCCTCCTCCGCCCTCGCAGCCGCAGAGGCAGCAGCGCCACTCCTGCCACCTGCAGCAGCAGCATCAGCGGCAGCAGGGGAAGGGGGGAGAGGTGGTGCGGAGTATGTGCCTTTGGCTGCAGGAGAAACAGCGGAAGAGGAGGGAGGAGACAATCAGGGGCAGGTGTGCCCTGAAGACCACACGAGTTTCATCAACCGTGAGCTGAGCTCCCACCTGTTTTCTAAACCCCAACGCCAAAACCCGAACCCTTTACCTTACACTTCACAACCTGTTGTTGTAATACCCGAAAAGTGCACTTGAGGCACCTGAGCTAGAACCTGATCTTTATCAACCGTCACCTCTCACCTGTTTTGTAAACCTTAAACCCCAGACCCTTATACCTTGCACGTTCGAACCTGAACGGCGCACTGGAGTTGCCGGAGGTTCAACTCGAGTCGAGCTTGATGTTCGTCCATTCTGAGCTCTCACTCACATGGTTTTTGAATAATTTTGAGACGTCTCAAAACATGAGTCGACTCAAAACATGAGTGACTCAAAACATGAGACGTCTCAAAACAAGCTTCATGTTCGTCCGTTGTGAGCTCTCACTCACATGGTTTTTGAAGAACCCATACCCTTTTGGGTGGATGACACCACCCCAAGGCCATCCATGGCTTTGGGATACCAACTTTTAAGACGTCTCAACCCCTCCCATTCTCCACCCCATCCCCCTCTCTTCCCCCTCCCCACTCTCTTCCCCCCTCCCCCCTCTCAGCGATGTATCTCAACCCCACCCTCCCCTCTTTCCCCCCACCCCCTTGCCCACCTTCCCCCACCTCCCCCACCTCTCCTCCCCCCAGGTCTGACGTTTGGGTGGATGACGCCTCTCATGGCTTTGGGGTACCAGCGCCCGTTGGAGGACAGCGATGTGTGGTGCCTGAACGATGGCGACCGCACTGCCACGGTGTATGGCAGGTGAGCTTGTGTGTGTGTGTGTGTGTGTGTGTGTGTGTGCGCGCGCGCGTGTCTGTGTGTGGGGTGTGGGTGTGCGACCTGTCTCTGACACATAACCAACACATGGCGCACCCACCAAGTGTTGTCCATTGGATGTCAGTCCGCAATGTGTGGCGGCTGAATGACGGCTGAATGACGGCTGAATGACGGCTGAATGATGGCTGAATGACGGCTGAATGACGGCTGAATGACGGCTGAATGGCGGCTGAATGGCGGCTGAATGGCGGCTGAATAACGGCTGAATGACGGCTGAATGACGGCTGAATGATGGCTGAATGACGGCTGAATGACGGCTGAATGACGGCTGAATGACAGCTGAATGACGGCTGAATGACGGCTGAATGACGGCTGAATGACGGCTGAATGACGGCTGAATGGCGGCTGAATGACGGCTGAATGACGGCTGAATGACGGCTGAATGACGGCTGAATGACGGCTGAATGGCGGCTGAATGACGGCTGAATGACGGCTGAATGACGGCTGACTGACGGCTGAATGACGGGGACCGATTCTGCTCTTCCTTTCTCTTGCCGCCACCCATCCCCCGGGCAGGTTTGAGTGCGCTTGGAGGGAGGAGAAGGGGCGCCCCAAGCCGTGGCTGCTGCGTGCCCTGCACTCCTGCTTTGGCCGCAGGTGAGGGGAGAGGGAGGCGTGGGAGGGAGGGATGGAGGGGTGGGAGGGATGGAGGGGTGGGGGGAATGGAGGGGTGGGACTGTTGAGAGTGATGTGATGGCAAGGGAGGGGTGGGAAGGGAGGGGTGGGATGGATGAAAGGGGGAACAGATGGACTGTGGACCTTTGTGTGTGCGTGCATTTTCAGCATGTATGGGAGGTATCCCACTGCTGCCTGTGCAGAGAGTAGCAGCTGAATTATTGCACAAAGGTAGATGATCCATCTATTTATTGGGTTTTACTGGATTCACTTTTGAGAATTGTAAAAAGTCAACAAACTAATAGATGAACATGTGTGTTGGTTTGTGACCATCCGTCCACATTCTCCCCCTCCCCCCCCTCCCCCTCCCCCTCCCCGTCAACATTATCGCTTAATTCTGACACTCGCTTACGTATGCACCAGACAAACACATCATCGAGCTTTGAGTAATTTCTATCCTTGTGGTCGCCTACACATGCACCATTCACACACATACAAACTCACAACCCCTTTCCCTTCCCCACCCCGACCCTCCTTTTCTGCCTTCCTGTCCCTGTGTTGTTTCCCTATTCTTCCCCGGCCTTTAACAGGTTCTGGTGGGGTGGTTTCTTCAAGGTATGTTTCCCCCGTCCCACTTGATGATAGTTAGGCTTTTCAACCTGCGTGGAAAGGGGGAGTTGCATTTTACATTTCGACCATTGCACTCTCACGCCTGCCCTCCCTGTGCTGTCAAGAACACCCACCTGCCCTCCCTGTGCTGGTGCTCCAACGTGTATCTTATGCCATCCATTGCATGCCGTCCCATGCCATCCCATGCCATTCCATACCATCCCATGCCAACCCATGATGCACTACATGCCAACTCGTGTCATCCATCCCATGCCGTCACATCCCGTGCCATCACATGGCATGCCTTTGCAACTTTTGCATGATGTATCCGTTAACCTACATCATTCTCCCCCCCCTTGCTACCATCCCCATCCCCATCCCCATCCCACTCCTCATCAGATCGGCAACGATGCGTCTCAGTTTGTGGGACCGCTGATGCTCAGCCGCCTGCTGTCAGCCATGCAGTTTATGCGGGCACTGATGCATCCCTCCCTGTCTGCTGGTCCCATCCCAATCCCCACCCTCCCACCCCACCCCACCCTCTTCAGATCGGCAACGATGCGTCTCAGTTTGTGGGCCCGCTGATGCTCAGCCGGCTGCTGTCAGCCATGCAATCGGGCGAGCCTGCCTGGCACGGCTACATCTATGCCAGCATCATCTTTCTCGGGCTGGTATGTCGCGACCCAACTCGCCTTTTTATTTATGATGTTGTTACAAGTGCAACCTGGTATGGTTGTGTGTTGTTACGCGCATAGGCACACCATGAACGGAAAATAAGGGGTCGGGGGTCAGCCATGCAGTCGGGTGAGCCTGTGTGGCATGGGTATGGCTACACCTATGCTACACCCATGCTACACCCATGCTACACCCATGCTACACCCATGATACACCCATGCTACACCCATGTTACACCCTTGCAGTCGGACGAGCCTGCGTGGCATGGGTATGGCTACACCTGTGCCTATCATCTTCCTGGGACTGATACGATGAGCCTATGTACTTAATAACTTAAGGATTAATTTTCAATCGAAGTTCAATTCAGGGATCAGCCATGCTGCCATGCAATTCGACGAGCCTGCATGTCGTGGCTGCATCCACGCCACCATCCTTGTCTTGGAAATCCACTCCACCCCCAATCATACCCTAGTACCCCGTATCACCCCTGTTAACCCTCTAGCACCGCATGCCACCCCTCGCTTGCAACCCCCTGGGCACCAGGTGGGAGGGGTGATCTGTGAGGCGCAGTACTTCCAGAGTGTCATGCGCGTCGGCTTCCAGCTGCGGCAAGCTATGGTACGTGAGGCATGGTATGCGTGCATGTATGTATGTGAGGTGTGCAGTGCAGCAGTTTTGAGTCGAGTAAAAAAAGCACAGCCAGTGAGCATCAATCACAAACCCACACACGATGTGTATGTCTATAGGATTCAAGTGTGCTCAGTATGGCTGATGGGTTGCACTGCACTGAAGGCTGGACAAATTGAAGGTTATTCTGCAAGTGATCCTCCACCTCGTTTCCTGGACAATATGAAGGTTATAGGTGATCCTTATGTCCCTATTCCATTTTTTCCCTTCTTCCCCACCTCGTTTTCTGCCGGCTTTCCACCGTCTCACTTGTTGATATCCATGGCAGGTGGCAGAGGTGTTCAGCAAATCCCTGTGGCTGTGCTAAGCAGTGCCCCCTTTTCTCCGTCTCACTTGTTGATATCCATGGCAGGTGGCAGCGGTGTTCAGCAAGTCGTTGCGGCTGAGTCACAGTGGCAGGCAGGGCTTCAGCACGGGGCGCATCACCAACATGATGACCAACGACGCTGAGTCGCTGCAGATGGTACGGTGAAGTGCGGTGAAGTATGGTGCAGTGCGGTGTGGTGTGGGGTGGAGAGGTGTTCAGCAAGTCGTTGCGGCTGAGTCACAGTGGCAGGCAGGGCTTCAGCACGGGGCGCATCACCAACATGATGACCAACGACGCTGAGTCGCTGCAGATGGTACGGTGAAGTGCGGTGAAGTATGGTGCAGTGCGGTGTAGTGTGGGGTGGAGAGGTGTTCAGCAAGTCGTTGCGGTTGAGTCACAGTGGGAGGCAGGGCTTCAGCACGGGCCACATCACCAACATGATGACCAACGACGCTAGGGATGAGCAAGGGGCGAACACGAGTTCGTGTTCGCCCCTAGACGAACACATCCGTTTGCCGAACCGAACACTGTTCGGTTCGGCGAACACTTTAAGCAAAAACACGTGTTCGCCGTTCGCCTGTGAAGGCGTGTTCGGGCGAACCTCGAACACGTTCGTGTTCGTCGCGGGGCAAATTGCAGCAGCGGCCCGAACACGAACGTGTTCGGGCGAACATCGAACACTGTTCGGCGAACAATTTAAGCAAAAAAAGTTCGAGGCGAACCGAACAGGTGTTCGCCCTTGTGCTCATGTCTAAACGACGCTGAGTCGCCGCAGATGGTATGCTGTGGTGCAATGTGGTGTTGTCTGGTGTGGGGTGGGGTGGAGCGGTGTGGTGCGTTTTGGCTTGTGTGACGCTTAAGGTTGTTGGCTTGACCTTACCGCATCTGTAAAAAACAGCATCAACGCTGTTAGTTCTCCTCCCCCCCACGTCGACTTGCTCACTTCACACTTCAATCACCTTTTCTCCTGCTTCTCTCTTGTCCTCCCAGGTGTGTCAGCAGCTGCACGGCCTCTGGTCCGCGCCTATGCGAATCCTCGTCTGCATCTTCCTGCTCTACCAGCAGCTGGGGGTGGCTTCGCTCCTGGGCCTGCTCATGCTGCTACTCATGATCCCTGCCCAGGTGAGTGACACCGGGTGGTTGATGATTGATCGTTTGTTTGCTTCGAGCGTGATGGTATTATACGCGCTGCTATGGAATTGAAGAAGTGTTTTGAGACGTCTCAAAACAGCGTTATGGTATTATACGCGCTGCTATGGAATTGAAGAAGTGTTTTGAGACGTCTCAAAACAGCGTTATGGTATTATACGCGCTGCTATGGAATTGAAGAAGTGTTTTGAGACGTCTCAAAACAGCGTTATGGTATTATACGCGCTGCTATGGAATTGAAGAAGTGTTTTGAGACGTCTCAAAACAGCGTTATGGTATTATACGCGCTGGTATGGCTAGTCCCTCTGTGCATGCGCCTCTGCATGCCCTGGTCCTGCCCTGCTACCAGCTGAGACTGGCCTCTTTCCCTGCACCTCTCTCCGTGTGCCTCTTCTCTTCCATTCCCCCTCTCTCCTCGCCTCTCTGTCCTCACCTCTTGCTCCACCCTCCTCCTCTCTCCCCTACTCTGTTCCCTCTTTAATCCCTCCCTTCCTCCACTCTCCCTGCATCCCTCCCTCCTCCCCCTCTCCCCACCAGGCGGTGATTGTGAGCCGGGTGCAGAAGCCAGCATCGTCAAGTTGTAACCCTCGCTCATGAGCCATGGACGTGCTCAAGCCGTAACCCCCTCATCTCCTCTCCGCTCCTCCTCTCGCCCTGCCTCCTCTCTTTTCGGCGCTCTCCCTGCCACCTTCCTCTCCTCCTCCCCCCCCCTCCCCCCCCCCCCCCCCCCCCCCCCCCCCCCCCCCCCCCCCCCCCCCCCCCCCCCCCCCCCCCCCCCCCCCCCCCCCCCCCCCCCCCCCCCCCCCCCCCCCCCCCCCCCCCCCCTCTCTCCTCTCCCCTCCTCCCTGTGTAAACCCATCTGCGTCCCCTGTATCCACACCCACCAGGCGGTGATAGTGAACAGGGTACAGAAGCTGGTGAAGGCATCTCTGCAGCGCAGCGACAAGCGAGTGGCGCTCATGAGTGAGGTGCAGCCAGCCATGGACGTCGTCAAGCCCTAATCTCTCCCTTTCTCGTTCCTCGCCTCTCCCATCCTCTCCTCCTCTTCCCTCCTCTCTCCTCCCCTCCTCCCGTCTCTCCTCTCCCCTCCTCCCGTCTCTCCTCTCCCCTCCTCCCGTCTCTCCTCTCCCCTCCTGTCTCTATGCCCCTCTTCCCCTGCAAACCCCACACAACCCCCACCTCCCCACCCACCACAGGCGGTGATAGTGAATAGGGTACAGAAACTAGTCAAAGCCTCTCTGCAGCGCAGCGACAAGCGAGTCGCGCTCATGAGTGAGGTGCTGGCAGCCATGGACGTCGTAAAGTCGTACACGTGGGAGGAGAGCTTTCAGGGCAAGGTGGCGCGGGTCCGATCGGACGAGATGGGGCAGATCTCCAAGGCGCAATACATCATGGCGGTGGGTTGTGTGCGATATGATGAGATGGAGAGGACGCATGAGATGGTGGTGAGTCAAGTCGTGCACGTAGGAGGAGAGCTTTCAGAGCAAGGTGGCGGTTGATGATATGGGGCAGATTTCCAAGGTGCAGTGCAGTCGTGCGTGATGAGGCGATTTTTGAGTCGACTCAAAAATCGCCTCATCACACGTGGTTGATGATATGGGGCAGATTTCCAAGGCGCAGTGCAGTCGTGCATCATATCGAGCCTTGCACGTCAATCCCGATCATATCGAGCCTTGCACGTCAATCCCGATCATATCGAGCCTTGCACGTCAATCCCGATCATATCGAGCCTTGCATGTCAATCCCGATCATATCGAGCCTTGCACGTCAATCCCGATCATATCGAGCCTTGCACGTCAATCCAGATCATATCGAGCCTTGCACGTCAATCCCGATCATATCGAGCCTTGCACGTCAATCCCGATCATATCGAGCCTTGCATGTCAATCCCGATCATATCGAGCCTTGCACGTCAATCCCGATCATATCGAGCCTTGCACGTCAATCCCGATCATATCGAGCCTTGCACGTCAATCCCGATCATATCGAGCCTTGCACGTCAATCCCGATCATATCGAGCCTTGCACGTCAATCCCGATCATATCGAGCCTTGCACGTCAATCCCGATCATATCGAGCCTTGCACGTCAATCCCGATCATATCGAGCCTTGCACGTCAATCCCGATCATATCGAGCCTTGCACGTCAATCCCGATCATATCGAGCCTTGCACGTCAATCCCGATCATATCGAGCCTTGCACGTCAATCCCGATCATATCGAGCCTTGCACGTCAATCCCGATCATATCGAGCCTTGCACGTCAATCCCGATCATATCGAGCCTTGCATGTCAATCCCGATCATATCGAGCCTTGCACGTCAATCCCGATCATATCGAGCCTTGCACGTCAATCCCGATCATATCGAGCCTTGCACGTCAATCCCGATCATATCGAGCCTTGCACGTCAATCCCGATCATATCGAGCCTTGCACGTCAATCCCGATCATATCGAGCCTTGCACGTCAATCCCGATCATATCGAGCCTTGCACGTCAATCCCGATCATATCGAGCCTTGCATGTCAATCCCGATCATATCGAGCCTTGCACGTCAATCCCGATCATATCGAGCCTTGCACGTCAATCCCGATCATATCGAGCCTTGCACGTCAATCCCGATCATATCGAGCCTTGCATGTCAATCCCGATCATATCGAGCCTTGCACGTCAATCCCGATCATATCGAGCCTTGCACGTCAATCCCGATCATATCGAGCCTTGCACGTCAATCCCGATCATATCGAGCCTTGCACGTCAATCCCGATCATATCGAGCCTTGCACGTCAATCCCGATCATATCGAGCCTTGCACGTCAATCCCGATCATATCGAGCCTTGCATGTCAATCCCGATCATATCGAGCCTTGCACGTCAATCCCGATCATATCGAGCCTTGCACGTCAATCCCGATCATATCGAGCCTTGCACGTCAATCCCGATCATATCGAGCCTTGCACGTCAATCCCGATCATATCGAGCCTTGCACGTCAATCCCGATCATATCGAGCCTTGCATGTCAATCCCGATCATATCGAGCCTTGCACGTCAATCCCGATCATATCGAGCCTTGCACGTCAATCCCGATCATATCGAGCCTTGCACGTCAATCCCGATCATATCGAGCCTTGCACGTCAATCCCGATCATATCGAGCCTTGCACGTCAATCCCGATCATATCGAGCCTTGCACGTCAATCCCGATCATATCGAGCCTTGCATGTCAATCCCGATCATATCGAGCCTTGCACGTCAATCCCGATCATATCGAGCCTTGCACGTCAATCCCGATCATATCGAGCCTTGCATGTCAATCCCGATCATATCGAGCCTTGCACGTCAATCCCGATCATATCGAGCCTTGCACGTCAATCCCGATCATATCGAGCCTTGCACGTCAATCCCGATCATATCGAGCCTTGCACGTCAATCCCGATCATATCGAGCCTTGCACGTCAATCCCGATCATATCGAGCCTTGCACGTCAATCCCGATCATATCGAGCCTTGCACGTCAATCCCGATCATATCGAGCCTTGCATGTCAATCCCGATCATATCGAGCCTTGCACGTCAATCCCGATCATATCGAGCCTTGCACGTCAATCCCGATCATATCGAGCCTTGCACGTCAATCCCGATCATATCGAGCCTTGCACGTCAATCCCGATCATATCGAGCCTTGCATGTCAATCCCGATCATATCGAGCCTTGCACGTCAATCCCGATCGCTAAACAAAGAGTAAACGAATAGCTATGACCCGCCCTCATGTTTCTTTGTGTATATCGTGTCAAAGCCCCCCAAAAGCCCAAAGAGTTCACCTGTGAGCGGTTTTTGAGTAGACCTGTGAGCGGTTTTTGAGTAGATAAACTAATGGACTTCACTCGTGGTCAAGCCCCACCCCACCCTTCTTTCCCCTTTCCCCCCGCCTTTCCTTCTCCTCCACTCTCTTTTCGCCCCTCCCAACCCCCTTTTTCCCCATCCCCCCATCCTTCCGCAGATCAACTTTCTGCTGATGAGTGTGGTGCCGGTGCTGGTGACGGTGGTGTCATTCGGCTGCTACTCGCTGCTGGGCCACCAGCTCACAGCCGCCAAGGCCTTCACCTCCATCTCCCTCTTCGCTGTGCTGCGCTTCCCCCTTTACATGTTCCCCAACCTCATCACTCAGGTCAGTGTTTTGCTTCAATACTTTGCTATTGAGTATCCTTGTTTTTCCCTGCCTCCTTAAGGATAGGTAGAGGACTACCACTTAGTACCAACCGTTAAGCGAAGTAAAGCATTTACATTTAGTACCAATTGTATAACCAAGTAACACAACTTTACATAATAGTAACCGTAAGACTAAGTACCGCATTTGGAGTTACTACCAATCATAAATATCAAACAGCGCACTTGCACTTCATATCATAAGGCTAAATAATGCATCTACACTTGATACCAAGATACCAATCGTAGTTGGTAGTAAGCGTAAGTGCGTCACTCAGCCAGGGGAGGGTGGGAGAGTGGGAGGGGGAGTAAGAGTATATGAGGCGTGGGATAGCTGTGACATTCTCGGTTGCACATACTACCCAGCAAGTTATAGGATTAGAATCGTTGATGCATGTGGAAGGCAGCACGAGCTGAGTTTTTTCGTGGACTACAGCATGGATGGGAGGGTGTCGGGGTTTAGACATGTGCTTTTGAGGTTTGAACTTCTAAACCCCCACATGTCCAAGACTCCTGCGCAGTTTGAGGCGGTGGTCAAGCTGAGTAGTAAACTCGGTAAAACAAAATGGAAAAACATTGGTAAGTATTCTGCATGCTGGGACGGAGGACGACTGAGGATAGGACTAGGAGAGGGGGGAGGAGTAGGAGGGGCAGTTGAGTTATATGGCAAACAAATAGTGTGTGGACTATAAGCATGCAACTTAACTGCCCCTCCTACTCCTACCCCCTCTCCTCGTCATGCCTTCAGCATCCCTATGTCCTCCTCCGTCCCGGCAGGCAGAAAATTCACCACCTCCTTCAATTTTATGTTAGAAGTTTAACTACCCAGCTTGACTGCCTCCTCAAATTGCACAGGAGTATTGAACATGTGGGGTTTTGAGAGTTCAAGCCCCAAAAGCACACGTCCAATCTCTGACGCCCTGCCAGCCATGCTGGGTCACGGAATAACCCAACTCGTATCGTCTTCCACGTGCATCAACGATTCTGATTCTATAACTTGCCGGATAGCACGTGCATCCGAAAATGTTACAGCTATCCCCCGCCTCATGTACTCCCACTCCCCCTCCTACTCCCCCACCCCCTCCCCCTGGCTAAGTACCAATCATAAGGCCACGTAACGTTTTTACACTTTTCGCACTCATTCTTAGATCGGGTACAAGGTTAAGTAACACTCTTACACTTAGTACCAATCTTAAGATTAAGTAATGCATTTTCTTTTGGATATATAACCATAAGGCTATGTCACACACTAAAACTTATCATCAAGAAAGGAAAGGCACCCTCTTTTTTTCTCTCCCTCATCTTGCATGCGCCTAAAATGTGGATGCAAACTTTTCATTATGCGCCTTGAATACAAAGCTGTTCACTTAGTAAAGGTAAATCATAATAAGTACCCGTCTTTAAAGGTATGCTCACCTTTTAGTTATGCATGCAAGCTTCTTACTCGAATTTGCCCTTGCTCATTCCGCCCTCATGTTTACCCAAACATGCATGCGGTCTTGGGGGATGTAGGTGCTTCTGCTCAATTATTGAGCGTCTGGAAACTGTTGTGCTGGCAAGCTGTTTCTGCTCGTCCCTCTTCTCCTATGCCTCACAAGATGCATCTGTCTTCCTTTGTGAGACTGGTCTCTTTCCGTCTTCTTCTCCCCCGTTACCAGGTGGTGAACGTGAACGTGTCTCTTACGCGCCTGCAGGAGATGCTACTGGTAGACGAGACGGACATTGACACCCCTGCCCCCCATCTGTCATCGCTTCACTCCGCCGCTTTTTCCCCTGCAACCCCTCCAACACTCCCATTCCCCAGGTGGTGAACGTGAACGTGTCTCTTACGCGCCTGCAAGAAATGCTACTGGCAGTTTTTTTGAGTCGACTCAAAAATCGCCTCATCACACGTGAACGTGTCTCTCACTCGCCTGCAAGAAATGCTACTGGCAGTTGAGACGGACATTGACGCCCCTGCCCCTCTGCTCCCTATCGTTCTTCTCTTCACTCCCGCATTTTTCCCTGCAACACTCCTCTCCACTGCACTCCACCAGGTGGTGAACGTGAACGTGTCTCTCACTCGCCTGCAGGAGATGCTACTGGCAGACGAAACAGACATTGACGCCCCTGCGCCTCCCATCGACCCCGCCAAGCCGGCAGTCGAGGTCTCCCATGCCTCCTTCGCCTGGAGCGCTGCTACTGGCGCTAATGGTGCTGCCGCTAATACGCCTGGTGGTGCTGCTGGGGGAGGGGGTGGAGGAATTGGAGGGGGAGAAGGCAAGGAGAAGGGTGGAATTGGGGGAGACGGGAAGGAGAAGGACGTGGGGGGCACTCTAACGGATGTGACTCTATCGGTGGAGCCTGGGAAGCTGGTGGCTGTTGTGGGCGCCACAGGTATGGCATGCAGGGTGGTCAGGGCGGTACAGGGCGGGTCAGGGTGCCACAGGTACTGTGGTGTGTGGGTGCCAGAGCTGGTGAGAGCGGGTCAGAACGGGTCATGGTGGGTCAGGGCGAGTCAGAGCGGGACAGGGCAAGTCAGGGGGGATCAGAGCGGGTCCGGGCGGGTCAGGGCGGGTCAGGGGGTTCAGAACAGTTCAGAACGGGTCAGGGGGGTTAGGACGGGTCAGGGTGGTTCAGAGCGGGTCCGGGCGGGTCAGTGAGGGTCAGGACGGGTCGGGGTGCGTCAGGGTGGGTCAAGTTATTGCTTTGCTGGACTGGACAGTGCGCTGCGGGGTGAGATGCCCATGGTGTCCGGGGACTGAAATACCTTTTCACCAACCCGCCTCTTAGTTGTTCCCATCCCTTTACCTTGCTTCCCTCCCCCGTCACGCCCCACCCCATCCCACCCCACCCCACCCCATCAGGGCAAGGCAGGTCGTCGCTGGTCAGTGCGTTGCTGGGCGAGATGCCCATGGTGTCATGTCAGGGGACTGAAAGGCCTTACCCCCGCCTCCTTTCCCCACCCCCCTAACTCATGGCAGGGCAAGGCAAGTCGTCGCTGGTCAGTGCGTTGCTGGGTGAGATGCCCATGGTGTCAGGGGACTCTCCTCCAATCATCAGAGGCCGCGTGGCCTATGTCTCGCAGGTTTGTACCCATTCTAAAGAAAAAAAAAGCTTTGCGTCTGATGCCCTAATCCGTTGCCTTGATTTGTCATCTGCCCATTATCCATCTTCTAAGCCATTTTATGCGTTTCTTATTTCATCCGCCTTCTTGTTCCTCTCCCCAATTCACATGCTGCCACGTGGCACACATGGCCCGCACAGGTCTCCTGGATCTTCAACGCCACAGTACGCGAGAACATTCTTTTCGGGCTGCCCTACGACCGGCAGCGGTACGAGCGGGCAGTGACAGTGAGCGCCCTGGAGAGAGACCTGCAGCTGCTGCCAGGGGGGGACCTGACGGAGATAGGCGAGAGGGGCGTGAACGTGAGTGGGGGGCAGAAGCAGCGCATCAGCATCGCCAGGGCGGTCTATTCTGACGCCGATGTGTTCTTCTTCGATGATCCGCTCTCTGCCCTCGATGCGCACGTTGCCAAGCAGGTGGGCTGACAATCTGGGCTTGGGGTTTTAAGGCTTGGGTTTAGAGTTTGGGGTATGGGGTTCGCGGCTCAAGGTTTGGGGTTTGCGGGTAGTGAGAGTGAGCGCCCTGGAGAGAGACCTGGAGCTGCTGCCAGGGGGGGACCTGACGGAGATAGGCGAGAGGGGCGTGAACGTGAGTGGGGGGCAGAAGCAGTGCATCAGCATCGCCAGAGCGGTCTACTCCGACGCCGATGTGTTCCTCTTTGACGACCTGCTCTCCGCCCTCGACGCCCACGTCGCCAAGCAGGTGCGCGTGGGCTTGAGGGGCTTGGGGTTTGGAGTCTGGGTTCTTGGGGTTTGTAAGTATTCATGGGTTCTTTGACGACCGGCTCTCTGCCCTCGACACCCACGTCGCCAAGCAGGTGGGCCGATGTTCTGGGGATTGAGGCTTTTGGAGTCAAGATTTGGGGTGGTGGGGTTCGCGGTTCAGGGCCTTGGGGTTGGGGCTTTGAGGGTGTGACTTTGGGATTTGGAAAGAAGTGTGCACGGGCTAGTTTTGAGACGTCTCAAAACTTGGGGTTGGGGCTTTGAGGGTGTGACTTTGGGATTTGGAAAGAAGTGTGCACGGGCTAGTTTTGAGACGTCTCAAAACTTGGGGTTGGGGCTTTGAGGGTGTGACTTTGGGATTTGGAAAGAAGTGTGCACGGGCTAGTTTTGAGACGTCTCAAAACTTGGGGTTGGGGCTTTGAGGGTGTGACTTTGGGATTTGGAAAGAAGTGTGCACGGGCTAGTTTTGAGACGTCTCAAAACTTGGGGTTGGGGCTTTGAGGGTGTGACTTTGGGATTTGGAAAGAAGTGTGCACGGGCTAGTTTTGAGACGTCTCAAAACTTGGGGTTGGGGCTTTGAGGGTGTGACTTTGGGTTTTGGAAAGAAGTGTGCACGGGCTAGTTTTGAGACGTCTCAAAACTTGGGGTTGGGGCTTTGAGGGTGTGACTTTGGGATTTGGAAAGAAGTGTGCACGGGCTAGTTTTGAGACGTCTCAAAACTTGGGGTTGGGGCTTTGAGGGTGTGACTTTGGGATTTGGAAAGAAGTGTGCACGGGCTAGTTTTGAGACGTCTCAAAACTTGGGGTTGGGGCTTTGAGGGTGTGACTTTGGGATTTGGAAAGAAGTGTGCACGGGCTAGTTTTGAGACGTCTCAAAACTTGGGGTTGGGGCTTTGAGGGTGTGACTTTGGGATTTGGAAAGAAGTGTGCACGGGCTAGTTTTGAGACGTCTCAAAACTTGGGGTTGGGGCTTTGAGGGTGTGACTTTGGGTTTTGGAAAGAAGTGTGCACGGGCTAGTTTTGAGACGTCTCAAAACTTGGGGTTGGGGCTTTGAGGGTGTGACTTTGGGATTTGGAAAGAAGTGTGCACGGGCTAGTTTTGAGACGTCTCAAAACTTGGGGTTGGGGCTTTGAGGGTGTGACTTTGGGATTTGGAAAGAAGTGTGCACGGGCTAGTTTTGAGACGTCTCAAAACTTGGGGTTGGGGCTTTGAGGGTGTGACTTTGGGATTTGGAAAGAAGTGTGCACGGGCTAGTTTTGAGACGTCTCAAAACTTGGGGTTGGGGCTTTGAGGGTGTGACTTTGGGATTTGGAAAGAAGTGTGCACGGGCTAGTTTTGAGACGTCTCAAAACTTGGGGTTGGGGCTTTGAGGGTGTGACTTTGGGATTTGGAAAGAAGTGTGCACGGGCTAGTTTTGAGACGTCTCAAAACTTGGGGTTGGGGCTTTGAGGGTGTGACTTTGGGATTTGGAAAGAAGTGTGCACGGGCTAGTTTTGAGACGTCTCAAAACTTGGGGTTGGGGCTTTGAGGGTGTGACTTTGGGTTTTGGAAAGAAGTGTGCACGGGCTAGTTTTGAGACGTCTCAAAACTTGGGGTTGGGGCTTTGAGGGTGTGACTTTGGGATTTGGAAAGAAGTGTGCACGGGCTAGTTTTGAGACGTCTCAAAACTTGGGGTTGGGGCTTTGAGGGTGTGACTTTGGGATTTGGAAAGAAGTGTGCACGGGCTAGTTTTGAGACGTCTCAAAACTTGGGGTTGGGGCTTTGAGGGTGTGACTTTGGGATTTGGAAAGAAGTGTGCACGGGCTAGTTTTGAGACGTCTCAAAACTTGGGGTTGGGGCTTTGAGGGTGTGACTTTGGGATTTGGAAAGAAGTGTGCACGGGCTAGTTTTGAGACGTCTCAAAACTTGGGGTTGGGGCTTTGAGGGTGTGACTTTGGGTTTTGGAAAGAAGTGTGCACGGGCTAGTTTTGAGACGTCTCAAAACTTGGGGTTGGGGCTTTGAGGGTGTGACTTTGGGATTTGGAAAGAAGTGTGCACGGGCTAGTTTTGAGACGTCTCAAAACTTGGGGTTGGGGCTTTGAGGGTGTGACTTTGGGATTTGGAAAGAAGTGTGCACGGGCTAGTTTTGAGACGTCTCAAAACTTGGGGTTGGGGCTTTGAGGGTGTGACTTTGGGATTTGGAAAGAAGTGTGCACGGGCTAGTTTTGAGACGTCTCAAAACTTGGGGTTGGGGCTTTGAGGGTGTGACTTTGGGATTTGGAAAGAAGTGTGCACGGGCTAGTTTTGAGACGTCTCAAAACTTGGGGTTGGGGCTTTGAGGGTGTGACTTTGGGATTTGGAAAGAAGTGTGCACGGGCTAGTTTTGAGACGTCTCAAAACTTGGGGTTGGGGCTTTGAGGGTGTGACTTTGGGATTTGGAAAGAAGTGTGCACGGGCTAGTTTTGAGACGTCTCAAAACTTGGGGTTGGGGCTTTGAGGGTGTGACTTTGGGATTTGGAAAGAAGTGTGCACGGGCTAGTTTTGAGACGTCTCAAAACTTGGGGTTGGGGCTTTGAGGGTGTGACTTTGGGTTTTGGAAAGAAGTGTGCACGGGCTAGTTTTGAGACGTCTCAAAACTTGGGGTTGGGGCTTTGAGGGTGTGACTTTGGGATTTGGAAAGAAGTGTGCACGGGCTAGTTTTGAGACGTCTCAAAACTTGGGGTTGGGGCTTTGAGGGTGTGACTTTGGGATTTGGAAAGAAGTGTGCACGGGCTAGTTTTGAGACGTCTCAAAACTTGGGGTTGGGGCTTTGAGGGTGTGACTTTGGGATTTGGAAAGAAGTGTGCACGGGCTAGTTTTGAGACGTCTCAAAACTTGGGGTTGGGGCTTTGAGGGTGTGACTTTGGGATTTGGAAAGAAGTGTGCACGGGCTAGTTTTGAGACGTCTCAAAACTTGGGGTTGGGGCTTTGAGGGTGTGACTTTGGGTTTTGGAAAGAAGTGTGCACGGGCTAGTTTTGAGACGTCTCAAAACTTGGGGTTGGGGCTTTGAGGGTGTGACTTTGGGATTTGGAAAGAAGTGTGCACGGGCTAGTTTTGAGACGTCTCAAAACTTGGGGTTGGGGCTTTGAGGGTGTGACTTTGGGATTTGGAAAGAAGTGTGCACGGGCTAGTTTTGAGACGTCTCAAAACTTGGGGTTGGGGCTTTGAGGGTGTGACTTTGGGATTTGGAAAGAAGTGTGCACGGGCTAGTTTTGAGACGTCTCAAAACTTGGGGTTGGGGCTTTGAGGGTGTGACTTTGGGATTTGGAAAGAAGTGTGCACGGGCTAGTTTTGAGACGTCTCAAAACTTGGGGTTGGGGCTTTGAGGGTGTGACTTTGGGATTTGGAAAGAAGTGTGCACGGGCTAGTTTTGAGACGTCTCAAAACTTGGGGTTGGGGCTTTGAGGGTGTGACTTTGGGATTTGGAAAGAAGTGTGCACGGGCTAGTTTTGAGACGTCTCAAAACTTGGGGTTGGGGCTTTGAGGGTGTGACTTTGGGATTTGGAAAGAAGTGTGCACGGGCTAGTTTTGAGACGTCTCAAAACTTGGGGTTGGGGCTTTGAGGGTGTGACTTTGGGATTTGGAAAGAAGTGTGCACGGGCTAGTTTTGAGACGTCTCAAAACTTGGGGTTGGGGCTTTGAGGGTGTGACTTTGGGATTTGGAAAGAAGTGTGCACGGGCTAGTTTTGAGACGTCTCAAAACTTGGGGTTGGGGCTTTGAGGGTGTGACTTTGGGATTTGGAAAGAAGTGTGCACGGGCTAGTTTTGAGACGTCTCAAAACTTGGGGTTGGGGCTTTGAGGGTGTGACTTTGGGATTTGGAAAGAAGTGTGCACGGGCTAGTTTTGAGACGTCTCAAAACTTGGGGTTGGGGCTTTGAGGGTGTGACTTTGGGATTTGGAAAGAAGTGTGCACGGGCTAGTTTTGAGACGGGCTTACTACAAAGGAAGCAGCGCATATCAGCTGTTGAAGGAGAGAATTGATCAATTGAATAATGAGCCAAGAGGCCCTTTAGTACAAACAATGAGCAAGAGAGAGATGAGAGGGAAGCTTACCCGATTGGCCAATATGTTGACCAATGGGTGAGCTTGCTTGTGGCCCAAACAACCACAAATGTTTGTTGGTTGGGATTGGTTGAGTTAAGGACCAATGCCAACCAACCACAAAATGTGGTTGGAGGGTACACTAAACAACCCCCCAATTTATAAATGTGCTACACATCTAATTCTAGCTTATGCAGGTTGTATAAGATATGAAATTACAACACTCAGCACGCCCATCACGGTGGCAAGAAGAATGGCAAGCGCGCGCCGATCGGCAACTCGCCAGGCAGTGATTTTCGTGGTGTATTTGGCAAGGTCTGCGGTGTAGGTGTCAAGGTCCTCCTGGTACTTGCTGTAGCGGGCAGCGGCGTCGCCATAAATGCGCTTCTCGTCCTCGTAACGCAGTTGTTGGCGCAGGTGCTCTTGGAGATTGGTGCGGTAGGTGCGGATGGCGGTCTCCGAGCTCTGCGGATCGTTGACATTCGGTGCAAAGGTGGGAGGATCACCAGGGGGAGAGGGCTCGGCGCCAGGGTGGGTGGGGACAGGTCCAGTGGGAGCGGTGGGGGCCACGGGCTGAAGTCCACCACCTTCCTGGAAGACAACCGAGCGAAGGTTGTAGCCGCTGATCACAACAGAGGAGAGGAGAACCTCGACCGAGTGAGCGTAGGAGTGCCAATTAGCAGCAGTGTTGTCGGGTAGCAACTCGAGTGCATCAACAGTAGCAAGGTCGACGGAAGAATCCGACGATGCCATAGAGACGAGGGTGGGTGGAAACAAGGGCAGGAGGAGGATGGGGCGAGGGTACTGCGGCTGGTGGCGCTGCTGGTCCTGCTACTGATGCCGCTGCTGGTCCTGCCGCTGGTGCCGCTGCTGGTCCTGCTGCTGGTGCCGCTGCTGGTCCTGCTGCTGGTGCCGCTGCTGGTCCCGGTGCTGGTGCCGCTGCTGGTCCTGCTGCTGGTGCCGCTGCTGGTCCTGCTGCTCGTAGGATGGGAGGAGGAAGGGAGGAGCGGAAGGTGGGGGAAGGTGGAGGAGGAGGAGGGGGGGGAGCGATGTTATGGGGGAGGCAGGGGGAAGGGTGCTGCTGTTGGCGTCGCTGCAGATGCCGCTGATGATGCTGCTGTGGGTAGGGACGAGGAGGGCTGCCCTGTGGCAGATCCGAGCGCGGGAGGAGTGGATCTGGGTGCGGAAAGTGCAGATCTGGTCCCGAGGTGTGCAGATCTGGGCGCGCAGAGCGCAGATTTGGATGCGCGGAATGCAGATCTGGTCGCGCTGAGTGCAGATCTGGTCGCGCGGAGTGCAGATCTGGATGCGCGGAATGCAGATATGGTCGCGCTGATTGCAGATCTGGTCGCGCGGAGTGCAGATCTGGATGCCCGGAATGCAGATCTGGTCGCGCGGAATGCAGATCTGGTCGCGCTGAGTGCAGATCTGGATGCGCGGAATGCAGATCTGGTAACGAAATGTGCAGATCTGGGTGCAGGAGGAGTAGATCTGGGCGCGGGAGGAGTAGATCTGGGCGCGGGAGGAGTAGATCTGGACGCTGGAATTGCAGATCTGAGTGCGAGGAGAGCGGATCAAGGCGCTGGGAGGGCATATCTGGGCGCTGGGAGGGCAGATCTGGGCGCTGGGAGGTCAGATCTGGGCGCTGGGAGGGCAGATCTGAGCGCTGGGAGGTCAGATCTGGGCGCTGGAGTTGCAGATCTGAGCGCGAGGAGAGCGGATCAAGGCGCTGGGAGGGCAGATCTTGGCGCTGGGAGGGCAGATCTGGGCGCTGGGAGGTCAGATCTGGGCGCTGGGAGGGCAGATCTGAGCGCTGGGAGGTCAGATCTGGGCGCTGGGAGGGCAGATCTGGGCGCTGGGAGGGCAGATCTGGGCGCTGGAGTTGCAGATCTGGACGTGCGTGGAGCAGTGCCTTGGAGGGCTGCGTCTTATGGGGCGCGCGGGGAGGGAGGACAGCGCCTAAAGGGCGCGCGAAGAGATGGCAGTTCCGTTCTAGAAGGCTAGATCTGAGGGACGGGGAGGAGAGGGTGGCCTAAGGACCGAGGGATGAAGGCGTGAGCCATCAGCTCATGATACCATGTTGAAGGAGAGAATTGATGAATTGAATAATGAGCCAAGAGGCCCTTTAGTACAAACAATGAGCAAGAGAGAGATGAGAGGGAAGCTTACCCGATTGGCCAATATGTTGACCAATGGGTGAGCTTGCTTGTGGCCCAAGCAACCACAAATGTGTGTTGGTTGGGATTGGTTGAGTTAAGGACCAATCCCAACCAACCACAAAATGTGGTTGGAGGGTACACTAAACAACCCCCCAATTTATAAATGTGCTACACATCTAATTCTAGCTTATGTATGTTGTATAAGATATGAAATTACAACATCAGCATCGCCAGAGCAGTCTACTCCAATGCAGATGTGTTGTCCTTTGATGGCCCTCGACGCCCACGTCGCCAAGCAGGTGGGCGAAGGCTTCTGGTTTGCAGGGATTGGGGTCCGGATGGGGTTTGGGGGTTTGGGTTTGGTTGGAAACACACACAGGATCTCAGCGGGGTCCATACGTGCGTGCGTATGTGTACGATACAAACCGTTTCTTATATGTCGTACGTACGTGTCTGTGTTCTGTTGGTGCATCGCTGCATGTTTGTGTTCTCTCCATCCATGCATGCATGTGTGCAGGTGTACGACACATGTGTGAGGACAGAGCTTGCCGGCCGCACGCGGATCATGGTCACAAACCAGCTGCACTTCCTGCCAGGTAACCCCCTCTCCTCGTCACCAAACCAGGTAACCCCCTGGTCACCGAATACGTTCAATCAACTGAGAACTTCGTACCATGAAATGTATGAGACACGTTGTGTACGATCAGCATCAGAACAGAGCCCGCACTGCCAGCTCAAATTTCTGGGAGAGGTCTCAAAAATCTTTGTAAACGACTCAAAACGGGAGAAGGACCCGCACCCACCAGCTCAAGCCCACTACCTCCTTCCTGCTCTCCCTCCTCTCATCGTGGTGGACTGACTGGTGATGGTGGAGGGGGGGGGCACACAGCAGAGCAGGGAAAGGACAGGAGGTCGAGGTACCTGAAGGTCATTACCTCGACCTCCTTTCCAATCCCTCTTCACACCTCTTTGTCCTTTCCCACACCCAACCCCACCACTCCCTCCTCAGCGGTGGACTGGGTGGTGATGGTGGAGGGGGGGCGCATAGCAGAGCAGGGGCCGTATGTGCAGCTGAAGGCGTCGGCACCCAAGTTCCAGAGGCTGCTGGAGAAGGCAGGCGCGCTGGAGGAGCATGGGGACGCGGAGGTGGGCGGGGAGGGAGGAGAAACAGCCGGGGACGCGGCGGGGAATGGTGGGGGTGAGACGAGTGCCGAAGCGGCAGCGGCAGCTGCAACAGCTGGCAGCAGCAGTGGTGGTGGTGGCGGTGATTCTGCTGCAGCAGCGAATGGCGATTCTAGCAGCAGCAATCGGGTTGGGGAGAAGAGTGGAACGGGGAAGGGGGAGAAAGGCGGAGCGTCAGGGGGAACGACCCTTGTCCAAACAGAGGATAAGGCGCAGGGGGTGGTGAGCGCAGCAGTGGTGTGGCGGTATGTGAGGGCCATGGGCGGGTCGGGCGTGCTGGCAGTGCTCATCTCGCTCTACGTGCTCGTGGAGGCAGCGAGGGTGCTGGCGAGCGTGTGGATCAGCGTTTGGACGGGGTCCGTGTCTCAGGGGGAGGGGGATGCTCATGGATCGCTGTACTTCGTGGCGGGGTATTCGCTCATCTCCCTCGGCCAAGTGCTGCTCACCTTTGCCAACCAGTATTTTCTGGTTAGTGCCTCTGCTTAAGGGTTGCGCGGTGTTGACTGCTTGGTTGGCACTTTTACGAAGTATGGAGACCGGCTGGTTCTCAACCATGCATGAACCGAGATTTGGCACTTTCTGGCGGAAATTTTGGTGTCCACATTTGTTTTCACCCTTGTTTTCAACAAGTCATTTCCTCAACACTACTTCATTAAAAGTTTCGCTTCTTGTCTTGCACCTTGCAGGTGTTTTCCTCCCAGAGAGCGGCTCGTCGCCTGCACGATGCCATGCTGGCAGCCATTCTCCGCGCCCCCATGTCCTTCTTTCACACCAACCCCGTGAGTCACAAGTTTTGAGAATTCTTAATAGTGCCCATGCCCCAACTCCAATATGGTGCCCATGTCCTTCTTTCACACCAACCCCGTGAGTCGTGATCTCCCATAAAGCTGTAACGCTCACTGCGATTCCTGTGAGTGTTATTCAATCAATCCTTCAACACTATATCTTCCAACATATCTCATCTGATGGCCCCTTCCAGGCAGTCATGCGGTCTTTTTCCCCTCTCTTCTGCTCCGCTCCTGGCAATTTTGGCTATGCCAGTTGGTCTCCTTGATAAACTGATCCGCAAAGAATGGGTCACCTTTGTCCTCATATTCAGGCACAGCTCCTGGGCTCCACACCACATGTGTTTCCCTGGACCTAATCTTCGGGCCTCACCTCAACCACAGAGACTCTGATCAACCCCATCCCTTCCTTTTCCCCACCACCCACCACACCACACCACCCACTTCCCACCTCCCACATCCCTCTACCAAGGACATGGCAGACATCGGCAATAACATTGCGTGGTATAATTTCTCTGCTTGGGCTTCATATCCCCCCCCAACCCTCTCCTCCTCTCTTCCTTCCCTTTCAGGTGGGGCGTCTGATCAACCGCTTCACCAAGGACACGGCGGACATAGACAAGAATCTCGCGCAGTACACGTCGCTGTGCCTGGGAGGCATATTCCAGCTGCTCTCCACCTTCGCCCTCATCGGCGTTCTCAACACCGTCGCCCTCTGGGCCATCGTGCCGCTGCTGCTGCTCTTCTATATCGTCTACCTCTACTTCCAAAACACGGCCCGGGAGGTCAAGCGCTGGGACTCTGTGACGCGCTCTCCCGTCTACTCCCAGGTGTGTGTGTGTGTGTGTGTGTGTGTGTGTGTGTGTGTGTGTGTGTGTGTGTGTGTGTGTGTGTGTGTGTGTGTGTGTGTGTGTGCGTGCCCTCTTCGGCTGTTGAGACGTGCCTTGTAAGTCGTCGCCCTCTGGGCCATCGTGCCGCTGCTGCTGCTCTTCTACGTCGTCTACCTCTACTTACGGAGTACTGCAAGGGAAGTCAAGCGCTGGGACCCCGTCACACGCTGCCCCGTGTACTCCCAGGTAAGTATGTGCGTGTGCGTGAGCGACCATCTTTGCTCTCATGAACCCCCACCCACACATTCCCCTCCCTTCTCTCAATCCGCTGAGGTGCCAAACGGCCTTGCAACTATTAGGGCGTACAGGGCAGCACGGCGCATGGGGGGGATGAACGGGGGCCAACCCATGCACACATGGCGGGGATGAACGGGGACCAACCCATGCACACATGGCGGGGATGAACGGGGACCAACCCATGCACACATGGCGGGGATGAACGGGGACCAACCCATGCACACATGGCGGGGATGAACGGGGACCAACCCATGCACACATGGCGGGGATGAACGGGGACCAACCCATGCACACATGTCTCTATTTCAACTCTCAACCCCCAACTTCCCCACCCCCCTTACAGTTCGCGGAGGCACTGAATGGGCTGGCGACCATCAGGGCGTACAGGGCAGCGCAGCGCATGGCGGGGATGAACGGAGCCAACCCATGCACACATGTCTCGATCTCAACTCTCAACCTTCAACTTCCCCACTTCGTCTTGCCCTCTCTCAGTTCGCGGAGGCACTGAACGGGCTGGCAACCATAAGGGCGTACAGGGCAGCGCAGCGCATGGCGGCCATGAACGGGCGAGCCGTGGATCGCAACACGCGCTTCACACTCGTCAGCATGAGCGCCAACCGCTGGCTCGCCATCCGCCTCGAATTCCTGGGAGGGCTCATGATCTTTGGTAATATGTTACCTCGGTTAGGGGTTCAGGGTTCAGGGTTCAGGTTTTGCTTTGGTTCAGGTGACTCACCAACTGCTGGCTCGCTTTCCGCCTCGAATTCCTGGGCGGGCTCATGATCTTCGGTCATGGTTTTTGTGGTTCAGTTTATGCCTGCACTTCAGGAGTATCCTCTTTTCCTTCATTGCTTTCTTCACATGAACGTCATGACCTTCCTTCCTCTCTGTTTCTTCGCCACTGGATCTAAAAGTCAGGCTCATAGTCTCACTTCATTGCGTTTACTTTACATCTCGCTTCACCGCATCGTACCTCCCTCTATCCCATTGTGCCCAACCCCACTGCATTGCACCCTTCTGTTCCCCCACAGCCATAGCAGAATTCGCAGTTATGGATGTGCCGAGGTCGGGCGATCAGTCAGCACACAGGCGCCGGTGATGGGACTCATTCTGTCTTGAGTTCCTCGCATCTCCCTCCCTCAATCCCACTGCACCTGACTTCACCGCATTGCACTCTTCTATCCCCCTTCCAGCCACGGCTGTATTCGCAGTGATGGATGTGCAGCGGGCGGGCGACCAGGCAGCACTGGCGCCGGTGTTGTGACTCTTTTTTCACATCGCACCTCCCTCCTTCAATCCAACTGTACCAAACCCCACCGCATTGGACCCCTTTCGCTTCCCTCTTGCAGCCACGGCGGTGTTTGCAGTGATGGACGTGCAGCGGGCGGGCGACCAGGCAGCACTGGCGCCGGTGATGGGACTCATTCTGTCGTACGCGCTGCAAATCACTGCCATGATGACCATGGTGCTGCGCCTGCTCTCCGTTGCTGGTAAGGCACTAACCTCATTCTGGTGTCAGTATTGCCAGGGCCACTTAGGGTTGCATTGGCGCCAGTCATGGGGCTGATTTAGTCGTACGCACTGCAAATCACCGCCATGAAGACCATGGTGCTCAGACTGCTCTCCATTGCTGGTGAGTGCTGCTTCGCGTGCTGCTGGTGTGGGGCTATGTGAGTAGATGCTTACACTCAAAGCACATAACAGCCATGATGACCATGGTGCTCCGACTGACTGCTCTCTGTCGCTGGGAAGCCTTTGCTCTCTTTGCTCGCTGAGATCACATCCCCTCTTCCTCTCCCCCTCTCCCGGGCCCCTTCGCTCCCGAATCGTCCGCCATCATTCCAAGCCAACAGTCTCCCTCCCTCCTCTCCTGCTCCTCCTCTGCCTGTCCTTTCCTCCGACAACCCCATTTCCCCCTTACTAGATTATTCTCCTATTTTCTTTCAACGCGGTGGAGCTGGTTGACAGTTACGCTGACATCTCTTCCCAAGCTCCTACAATCAATTCCACTCCTCCACCTCATTCCTCACACCCTCCTCCCCTTCCCCATCCCCCCCTTTATCACCCTTTATTTTCTTCAGAGAACTCTTTCAACGCGGTGGAGCTGGTTGGCAGCTAGTCCGACATCCCTCCCGAAGTGCCTACAATGAATTCCCCCCACCACCCCCTTCCTTACACCCTCCTTTCTCGGCCCCATTCCCCCGTTATCACGTTTGTTTCCTTCAGAGAACTCGTTCAACGCGGTGGAGCTGGTTGGCAGCTAGTCCGACATCCCTCCCGAAGTGCCTACAATGAATTCCCCCCACCACCCACTTCCTTACACCCTCCTTTCTTGGCCCCATTCCCCTGTTATCACGTTTATTTCCTTCAGAGAACTCTTTCAACGCGGTGGAGCGGGTGGGCAGTTACGCCGACATCCCCGCCGAGGCGCCGGCCATCATTCCGAGCCACCGCCCGCCGCCCGGGTGGCCGCAGCAGGGGGAGGTGTTATTTGAGGACGTGGTGATGCGGTACAGGCCGGACCTGCCGCCCGTGCTGAGAGGGCTCAGTGCCCTGGTGCAAGGGGGAGAGAAAGTCGGTGTGGTGGGGCGCACTGGGGCAGGTGAGAGTGAGAGTCTGTCTGTGTTTAAGGGAGAATCAATTCCTGCCGTGGGGGTTATCTGCGCTGGTTGGGGCGCACTAGCGCAGGTGAGAGAGTGTGACTGTGCTTATCTGACAGCTCGTCTCATGCTGAAAGGGAGGTGTTATTTGAGGACGTGGTGATGCGGTACCGGCCGGACCTGGCCTGGTGTGGGGTGGAGAGAAGGTCGGCGTGGTGGGGAGGACTGGCGGATGTGAGAGGGTATGTCTGTGTCGAGAGAGTCGCTTCGCTGCATATGCGCTGAGGGGGTCTCACTGTGTTGGTGGGGGGGTGGGTGGGAGAAGGTCGGCCTGCTGGGGAGAAATTCGTATTCCACTCCTCCACCTCTCTCATACCCCATGCGACCCACCTTCTCATGCCCTTGTCTCTGCAGGCAAGTCGTCCCTGTTCAACTCGCTCTTCCGATTGGCCGAGATCGAGAGCGGGCGCATCTGCATCGACGGTCAGGATCTGAAGCTGTTTGGAGTGACGGACGTGCGCCGTGCGCTCATGATCATCCCGCAAACGCCCGTACTCTTCACTGGTGAGAAAAGCACGGGATACTCAAGGTGAAAGGCTCAGTCTGAGGTTTTGGTTTTCCTCAAGTAATGGGGGCGTGCACTGCACACTCATGCGCTCATGATCATCCCCCAACCGCCTGTGCTCTTCACTGGTGAGGAAGATGCAAACCATCTAATGTTGTTGGGTTGGGTTCTCTGGAAACTTTTGTCAAGTGACAGACGTGCGCTGCACGCTCAACTCAAGCTCGCATGATCATTCTGCAGAATCCCGTGCTCTTCACTGGTGAGAGGAAAGGCACAGGGTCTTCCTGTGGTCTCTGCGGTGAAGAATCTCAGGGTTATGTGGTCTAGACATGGGAGCTGTTTGGAGTATCGGACATGCACCGTGCTCTCATGATCTTTCTCTAAACGCCTGTGCCCTTTACCGGTGAGAGCACATACAGAGCATTCAAGGTGCAGGGATTAGAGGTTAGGGATTAGGGTCTGTCTGCTCTTTGACTGACAGGCGTGTGGCGTGCACCAGAGAAAGACTTGTTCATGGTCATTCCCCTAACACCTGCTCTCTTCATCGGTGAGAAAGACTGATGGGCCTGACAGGTGTTTGGGTAAGACTTCATAGTAATCGAGGTGGGCCTGAGACTGAGGTTAGGGGTTTAGGCGTGCGAAACCCGGGGTGTGACGGACGTGCGACATGAGTCGATTTTTGAGTGACGGACGTGCGACATGCGCTCATGATCATCCCTCAGAGTCTCAAACGCCAGGTTTCTTCACTGGTAATTCGATTTAAGGTGACTTTAAGTCAACTGGAAAGTCAGCTCTTCAGTTCAGTGTTGAAAAGGATGCAGGCGTTTTGATGTTATTGGGGGTATGGTTAAGAATGAGGGTCTAGTTTTTGCACTTCCTGATTGTCTCTAACCCCAAAGCCAATCATCTTTGGGGTTTGGCAATGTACAGCTTCAGCTGCCTTTCATCTTCCTTTCCCCCTTACCACGCCACACCCGCTCCCCTCCCCCTCTTGCTGCTCCCCAGCCCAGCCACACTCCATGTCCCTCCATGTCAAATCAATCTGAATCATGTCACCAGGTTTTGATGTGCCTCAAAATTCACTGCGTGGGAGCAACAGAGCAACTCTGCAGGTCAACCTGGATCCGCTCAGCGAGCGAAAGGCAGCGATGTGTTGGAGGCGGGGCTTAATGAGCTCTCGACTGTATCCCACCTGGTCATCCTCCCTAATGTCCTGTTCTCCCCCCTCCTCCCTCCTCCTCCACCCCCCCCAGGCACATTGCGGTTCAACCTGGATCCGTTCAGCGAGCGCAGTGACAGCGAGGTGTGGGAGGCGCTGGGGAGGGCGCACCTGAGGGAGGTGGTATCTCGCATGCCGCTGGGGCTGGATACAGAGGTGAGTACAAGGGAAGGGAAGATAGTTGTACCTGGATGTTGCGGAAGACGCGTCTAGCGTCTTAGACGGTTGCGTCTAGACGCAGCATCTAAGACGCTAGACGCATTTCAGGCCTGATTAGACGCAGGATTAGACGAAAGCCCAGGCAGGCCCAAAAAAAAGTTCGGGCAGCCTAAAAAAACTTCTGTGGGGCATGGGGAGGGTGGGGGACATGCTCATATGTCACAATTGGGTCAAATTTTCGCTGTACCATAACCTTTTCCCCATACTTAGAGTTTCCTGAGGGAACTAGCAAAACCCTAAAGGGTTTTTGAAAGAGAATTTGGTAGAAATGAAAGATGGGGAGCACAAATGGGGGATTTGTGCTCCCCAACCTCTTGGTGGTTTGCCATAGAGGTTGGGTTTTCTAGATACTAAGCTGTGCAGTGAGGTTTGTGTGCAATTTTGGTTGGGGGGGTATCAAATTTGCTTGGGGGGCTGGTTTCTATGGTCGAAATGGGTGGGAGGGGGTGCAAATGTCGCGAAATTGAATTTCGCTTCGAAATCGCGAAATTCAATTTCACGCGCGCGATTATTTTTTCGGGCTGACCGAAAAAATTCGGCCCAAGCGTCTAGCGTCTTCCGCAACATAGCTGGACAGTGCTGGTACCGAGGTGTCACCTGAGGGAGGTGCCACCTGAGGGAGGTGGTATCTCACCTGGGGCTGGACACGGAGGTGAGTAGAGGGGAAAAGGGAGATAGTTGTATCTGGAGAGTGCTGGTACTGAGGTGTTACCTGAGGGAGGTGGTATCTCGCCCGCATGCCCCTGGGGCTGGGGCTGGACATGGAGTTGAGGGTGAAAGGGAAGGGAAGAAAGTCGTGGCAGGAGGTGGTAATTCTGAGGTGCCACCTGGGGGAGGTGGTACCTGAAGCAGAGTGGTTGAACTTCGTCTATCGTTGAGGGTGGAGCACCAGCCGTAGAGGGGTGGGGAGAACCTAAACCCTAAACCTTGAACCCTGAACTCCATTGCGGCTTCTGCTGCTGCCCTGCCCCTCCCCCCTTTTACCCCCGTACCCCCCCCTCCTCTCAAGCAGGTGGCAGAGGGAGGGTAGAACTTCAGCGTGGGGCAGCGGTAGCGGATCGGTCTGGCATGGCCGCTGCTAACGGAGGGGCTGAGAATGGGAAGAGCTAATCTTTATCCTATTTCACTTCACCCCTCTTCAGGTGGAAGAGGGAGGGGAGAACTTGAGCATGAGGCAGAGGCAGCTGATCAGCTTGGAGCGGGCGCTGCTGAAGGAGTCGCGGATTCTGGTGTTGCTCTTCCCTGCACTCTCACCCCCTCTTTCTCCACTGTTATGCAGGTGGCAGAGGGAGGGGAGAACTTCAGCGTGGGGCAGAGGCAGTGATCAGCCTGGTGCGAGCTCTGCTCAAGGAGGGGCCGAGAATGGCAAATGCTAATCGCTTTCGCACTTCCCTCTGCTCCCCTTTCTTCTGCCATGCAGGTGGCGGAGGGAGGGGAGAACTTCAGTGTGGGGCAGCGGCAGCTGATCAGTCTCGCCCGAGCGCTGCTGAAGGAGTCGCGCATTCTGGTGCTGGATGAAGCGACGGCAGCCGTTGATGTGGGCACGGATGCGCTGATCCAACGGACGGTGCGCGAGGAGTTCAAGGGGCGCACCATGCTGACCATCGCCCACCGGCTCAACACCATCATGGATAGCGACCGGATCCTGGTCATGGATGCTGGCATGGTGAGCTCTCTGGTTTAATAATGATACGTCTTGTTGCCTATCCACCATCACTCACCGGCTCAACACCATCCTGGATAGCAATAGAATTCTGGTCATGGATGCAGGCATGGTGAGTGGGTAGGGTGAGCATCAAGGGTTGAGCTTGTGCAAGTGGAATCTGTCTGTTTTACCTCTGAAGTTTACCTTTCCTCCTCAACCCCTCTCCCCCTCTCTCCCTTCTCCCATCTTCACCCAGGCCCTTGAGCAAGACACACCAGCCAAGTATCTGATACTGAGCGAAGGCAGCAAGAAAGTGCCTGTTGGAAGACCAATTGCGGCCTCTATTGGTCTTCCAACAGGCACTTTCTTGTGCATCTTCATCGGCCGCGGTTTTCCTTTTCATTTTCCTTGCTTACTCGATTTTCCTCGCTTACTCAATGCCTACCGAGCCTATCATAGATTATTGGAGAATAGAACGAGCTAAGTCTGGTGATCTGGGTCGAATCCACCCTTTTCGGCAGCATCTTTGCGGCCATGGTGCACAGCATGGGAACCCCCCGACGGCCAAGAATCTGCTCTACCTCCACTCCTCTTCATCTCTCCCGTTCTCAACCTCTCCCCACCCTTCCCTCAGGCCCTGGAGTACAATACCCCAGCCAACCTGGTGTTAAACGAGGCCAGTGTGTTTGCAGCCATGGTGCGCAGCACGGGGCCTCAGACCGCCAAGTATATGCTCTTACCTGACCTCCTTCCTCTGTCCCTTTCTTCCCCCAGGCCCTGGAGTACGACACGCCGGCCAACCTGGTGTTGAATGAAAACAGCATCTTTGCAGCCATGGTGCGAAGCACGGGGCCTCAGACCGCCAAGTATCTGCGCAGTGTGGCGCTGGGGGAGGTGGCGCTAGCAGACGAGCTTGCCGGCCGGGCGGCGGCGCAGGAGAAGCAGATGGCGCGCGAGGCGGCCAAGTGGCGGTGGGCCACTGCCGCCCAGTGGGCGCTGGCTCTCACGCTCACGTCTTCCCAGAGGGACTTGCAGGTGCGTTATAGAGAGATGCTGGCTTGTATGTATGTGCTATATGGAGGTGCCGGCTTGTATGTATGTGCTATATGGAGGTGCCGGCTTGTATGTATGTGCTATATGGAGGTGCCGGCTTGTATGTATGTGCTATATGGAGGTGCCGGCTGCAGAGGTCGCAGGTGCGTGTGCCTCCCACATGCACTGTAACGCCGGGCCACTGCGGCAGTGGGCTCTGGCTCTCACTCTCACGTCCTCGCAGAGGGATTTGCAGGTGCGTGGGTCCTCAATACCTAGGTGCTATAAAAGTGCCCGGTTGCAGGTGCGTGGGTCCTCAATACCTAGGTGCTATAAAAGTGCCCGGTTGCAGGTGAGGAGGGTGTTTGCAAGCGTCAGCGGATGAGTGCCCCTCGGTGCGAGCAGTGTGGCAGTGGGGGGGCTGGCAGTTGGGGGAACTTGCGGTGGGAGGGGGGATGTAGGTCGAACGAGCACATTGCCTCTCCGGTGCTGCAGCTGCTGCAGCTGCGTCTGAGGAGCCTAGAAAATGATTCTACAAAAGCTGATACAGACTTGTGCTGGTCACCAGTGGTGCAGTGCAGTGCAGTGCAGTGCGGTGCGGTGCGGTGCGGTGCAGTGCAGTGCGGTGCGGTGCAGTGCGGTGCAGGCCATGTGTAACGACAGTGAGGGGGAGGAGGGAGAGAGCAACGCACTTGTGGTGGTCACTAGTGGTGCAGTGCGGTGCAGTTTCTCCACCTGATTGGACCATCCATGGGTTAGGCGCCTGAAAATACTGGCTCTATAATAGAACTAAAACTCTTTCAGGTTTGCTGTGTGCAGGCCAAGTACAATTGAAGCGAAGGGGGCAGATGGAGAAAGTGACGTACTTGATTCTTTAGGCGCCTCAAAGCTCGTTCTCATGATCAGCCTTACCCCCCCCCCCCCCCCTCCCCCCCCCCCTTTCCTCTGGGTTGCGTTGCATGCAGGCCATGTGTAACGACAGTGAGGGGGAGGAGGGAGAGAGCGACGCACTTGTGGTAGTCACACAACCGCCAACTTTCCAGGTACAGCTGGCACAACCACCAACTGTCGGCAGCTGTCCACAAGTGTGTTTTCGAGAGACCACAAGTGGGTTGCAGTCTCTCAGCGCAGTCTCTCAGCGCAGTCTCTCAGCACTCCCATGGCTGGCAACAACTCATCCACCTTGCAAGCCAGAATCGGACCTAACCCTTAAGCTATCCTGCTCCTCCCCCGTGTCTCATTCTCGTTCATGTTTTGTTTATTGTTTCCATGTTTATTGGCGTTCTCTCACACGTGGCTCTTGGGTGATCTCACATTGCTTGGAGAGGTGTTCCCACAGTCACAAAACACCAACAGACGGGCAACAGACGGGCAACAGACGGGCAATACCATTCTCCATTTCCTCTCCCTGACCCCACTGTCTCTCGTCCCTCCCCATTTCTTATTCGCCACTGCAGAGAGGTGTGCTAGAAGAGACAAGGGATGCCGCCCAGGTGCTGCAGGCGGTGCTGTCGGGGCAGCGCAGCGAGGAGATCTCGTCAGCGCTGACGAGGCGACAGCTGTCGGAAGACAAGTGGTGGACGGCTGTCAGCCGCGTGGTGCAGGGTGAGTGAATGCAGGGTGTGGGTGAGTTGGGTGTGAGTGTGTGTGTGGAAAACAGGGAGGGGGGCGGGAGAGGGGAGGGTGTGGGTGGGTGTGGGGGTGAATGTGGGTAAAGTGTAGGAATGTAGGTGTGTGGGGGGGGATGGGGGTGGGAGTGTGGATGTGGGTGAGTGGGTGAGAGGATGAGCTTCTATAAGGCATTATGGGTGTGTGGGGTGCTGGGTGGTTCCATACATGGGTGTCATGGGTGTCATGGGTGTCATGGCTGTCATGGCTGTCATGGCTGTCATGGGTGTCATGGGTGTCATGGGTGTCATGGGTGTCATGGGTGCCATGGGTGCCATGGGTGTCATGGGTGTCATGGGTGTCATGGGTGTCATGGGTGTCATGGGTGCCATGGGTGTCATGGCTGTCATGGGTGTCATGGCTGTCATGGGTGTCATGGGTGTCATGGGTGTCATGGGTGTCATGAGTGCCATGGGTGTCATGGGTGTCATGGGTGTCATGGGTGTCATGGGTGTCATGGGTGTCATGGGTGTCATGGGTGTCATGGGTGTCATGGGTGTCATGGGTGGCATGGGTGTCATGGGTGTCATGGGTGGCATGGGTGTCATGGGTGTCATGGGTGGCATGGGTGTCATGGGTGTCATGGGTGGCATGGGTGTCATGGGTGTCATGGGTGGCATGGCTGTCATGGGTGTACATTGCCGCTCATCATTGAATGGGTGCGTGAATGGGCTTGTGCATTCCCACTCCCAAGTCACTCTGCAATACCTGTGTAGACGTCTCAACATGCCCGTTTCTGCACGTGTCACCACGTATCCCCAGGCCTAGGCCTCATGGCGAAGCAGGTGCAGGCGAAGCTCGAGGCAGATGGCAGTCTGCGGGACTCCGCCAGCTCAGCAGGGGCGGCGGCGGGCGGCAGGTGGACGCAACTGGCAGCAACGGGGGAGGAGATGGCAGGCGGCAGAGTGGTGTGACTGGGAGGGACTGCTGCGGATTGCATGCTGTGGCTCTGCAATTGCGGGCGGCATGTGTGGCTCTGCCTGCTCCACCGGGCTCAATCAATGCAGGCAGTTGTAGCGCAGCTCGCAGCAACGGGGGACAAGATGGCGGGAGGGAGGGAGGGAGGGAGGGAGGGAGGGTGGTGTGATTGGGAGGGACTGCTGCTGCATTGTGCATGGGGGCAGAGCGATGTGATTCCCCCTGGAACTGACAGACCACCAATCAACTTGTCTACACTTCGAACAGATGAATGAGTGGAATGTTGTTTTCTCACGCTGTCTACCAAAGGTTCAATCAACTCACGCAGTGGCTGCAGCATCAAGAAGAGCATTGTTGGCATCCTGGCTCAGTTCGCTGAACAACTACCCTCTAGTTTGGATCACAGGCTTGCAAAAACAGCTGCATTTCCATCTAGATTGAAACAGTGACAGATTCACCCGTGATTCCCAAACAAATGCGTCTACACTTGAAACAAAAATTAACAAGCATAAGATTCATTACAGTGGCTTTCATCTCATGCAGCTACTGCAGCATTAAGCAGAGCATTATTGGCATCCTGGCTCAGTTCCCAGACGAACCACCCTGCATAGCCTTGCGCCTTGGCGAACTGAACCTTCGTGGTGATGGTGGAAGGGTTGTCGTAACCAACCCACTGGTTACCCTTCACCGCATACATGCATGAGGATGGGGCGTCAAGTGTAGCGGTGTAACCTCCAGTGGTTACCAGCTGATCGATTTCCTTGTAAAAGAGGATACCAGGTTCCTGTTGGAGGGGTGGAGAGGGATAGGGAATATGCAGGCCAAGGAAGAGGGTGATGAGAGCCTGCTTGGAGCTGATTGCTTGCATCTTTTAGAAACAGGGATAAATAGTACCCTGCAATTGTGAGAGCAAGGAGAGAAAGAAAGAAACGTAGGGGAAACAAAAAATGGTTCGTGATTATGCGAGGAAGGGAGAGACGCACGATGCAGAGGAGAACCAGGAAAAGGGGACTAACCTGACTGATAGGCCCAGGCTGACCAGGCCCTAAGGCAAGAGCTCCAACCCCAGTGCTGCTTGTCGAAGCAATAGTCCAGGTTTGGCCGTACATTGCCAAGCCTACCATGGCCTTGCTCCGGGCCAAGCCTCGGGACACCAAGGCAGCTATGGCACCCTTGATGCTCTGCTGGGGATTGCTCGGGTCCTCCAGAGCAGTGTGCATGAGGGTCCTCCACCCAGACAGATCGTAAGTCTTAAAATTAACGAAATCCAGTGTTTTGTTAAGCGCCGGGACGTCATAGGATAGATCTTCTGTCCGCCCGTAGGCAGGAATTGCCGCAGAAAGCAGAAGCTTCGATTGCCCAGAGGCGGCAGCTTCGGATTCGATCGCCGCCCGGAAATCCGTGAGCAGGGCGGAGACCAGGGTGGCGTTGCCCATTGTGTACTTCCAGTAGATATCCAGGCCGTCAAAGCTGTACATGCGGGCGAGGGCGATCGCGGATTGAATAAAGGCAGAGCGGAAGGACGGGGAGGAGGAGGCGTTGCCGATAACGTTGTTATAAAAAACGTTGAGATAGCCGCTGATGGAAAGGAGGGACTTGATGGCGGGGTTGGCGGCCTTTACAGCGGAGTAGAAGCGGGGATAGAGGCCCTGGGTCACATCAACGGCTGGGTTGGAAGGGACGACCTGGAATGGGGAGGGAAGAATATGGGAGGTGAGAGGGCATCAAGTTGAGAGGGCATCAAAGTGTAGGAATCTGAGAGGGGGAAACGAAACAGCGCATCTGAGAGGCAAGAGTGTCAGAATAATGAACGAGAATGGATGAACTAGCAAAGAGTTGGGTACAAGTACTAACCCTAATTGAGTTGTACCCTTTATGGGCTACCCTACTACAGCCTATACAATGTAAGCATTATAACATTCTGACACACCCCCATAGGCAAAGTGGGGGAGAACAGCTGGTCACAAGACCAGTCAAGAAAAGCAAAGCAAGCTCAGGGTGGATCACTAAGTCACCACACAGTTCGAGCACAAGCAAAGGGCCACAAGGCCAGTTCACATGCAGAGTTATACAAAAAAGAACAAACAATACAGTGATCATACCCTAGCAAGTGCAAGCATGCAGGTATATATATGGATCACAGTACAAGCAAAGTCACGCAGTAAGCAAGTGAGGCGAAGTAGGCACAAGGCCTAACACAGTAGAGAAGCGCTGATGATCACCAGACGGAAGTGCCTTGGTGAATATATCAGCAGTGTTGGCCGTAGTAGCCACGTACGCAAGACGAAGCTGGCCACGCTGCTGCAACTCTCGAGCAAGGAAAGTATCGCACAGCGATGTGCTTCGTTCGGTGCTCCAGTCTGTGCTCCTGACACAAGGCAATCATGGCCTTGTTGTCTACGTACAGAACTGGAGGCGAACGAGGCTGCTCTCCCAAGTCAGTCAGCAGGTAGGTGAGCCAGCATAGCTCCTGTGCAGCCATGGCCCCTGCGTAGATCTAAGCCTCACAACTGGAGCTGAGAACAGAAGACGAGCGGGTAGACCGCCAGGAAACAGAGCCGGAACCAAGGCTGGAAGCGTAACCCTGTGACGACCGCTGCATAGCTGAGTCGTGAACCCAAGAAGCGTCTGCGTGACCAGTGAGGAAAACTGGACCCCGTCCTCCAAGAACGAGCCCCATGCTCGACGTACTGCACAAGTAACGCAGTACCCTCTTCACAGCATCCCAGTGCACCTATCGGTGCCTACCGGGAGCCACGTAGCGAGCCAGGAGACTGAGAGGGTACGCGAGGTCAGGTCGTGTGCAAGTCATCAGGTACATGGGGCAACCCACAAGCTCTGAGTACGGACCACTCGGCTCTACGGACTCGTCCGAAGGTGGAGCTAAAAGCGGGTGGCTGATAGACAGAGGAGAGGGCTGTGGCGAAGAGAACTGGAAGTCGAAGCGCTGAAGGACTTGGTGCACCATGTGTGACTGATTCAGGGTGATGGTGCGCCATGCTCTGTCCCGGGTGATCTGCAAGCCAAGATAGCTGCGCAGTTCACCCACGTTAGTGCAGGTGTGTCTCTTCTGCAGCTCCGACTTCACAAGGGTCAGTGCCTCGATGTCAGCACTGGCAAAGACCAGGTCGTCGACGTAGACGAGGACGTAGAACGGCGGCAGCGAGGTGTCGGTGCATAGAAACAGCGACGGTTCAGCAGTAGAAGGAGCAAACCCAAGAGCCGCAAGTGTAGTCCTGAGTGTGTCGTGCCACTCGCGAGGCGCCTGACGGAGACTGTAGACTGGCCGGCGGAGGCTCCACTGGGTATCTGCAGGAAACGACCCAGTGAAGCCAGGTGCGCGGCGCAGCCAGATCTCTTCGTGCAGGCTGCCCTGCAAGAAACCTGTGCTGAAGTCCAGAGAGTGCAACTCGTAGTCACGCTGAGCAGCGACATGCAGCAACACCCAAAGAGTAGTCATCTTCGGGGTGGGGGAGAAGGTCTGGAAGTAGTCAACCCCCTGTCGCTGACTGAAGCCTCGAGCCACGTAACGCGCCTTGAAAGCTGGCGGAGAACCCGGCGGCCGCCTCACCCTGAAAATCCACATGCCATCGACAATGTTCGCCCCAGGTGGTGGAACCTCGTCGACGTAGGTGACTGTGGACTTCCAGGATGCCATCTCGGCATCCATGGCTGCCTGCCACTGAGAGGAGTAAGGACCCGTAATCGCCTCTGCGTAAGAGCGCGGGGTCGGGATGTCTGGAGCGTCCGGGTCTACCTCACGGGCAAGCAGCATGGAAGCGAAACGAGGTACAGCAACTGCAAGAGACTCAAAGTCCTCCTGCCTGTCCTCAAGGACGTCCGTGCCAAGAGCACACTCACCCCTGACGGACGGAGGACTGGCAGACGCAGACTTAGCAACAAGAGCAGTGGCGTAGTCTAGACGGGAGGCAGCAGCAAAGTCAAGCAGCTCAGCAACGAGAGCAGACGCAGCAGCAGACTCAATAGAAGGGTCAGTGACAGCAGTGGCGAGGAGACGAGAGACAGTGGGACTGGCAGCACGAGCGCGGTCAGACTCAGGGTCAGTAACCTCAGGAAGAGAGGACTCAGGAGGAGCAGGCAGAGGAACACGCAGTGGAACAGAGGAAGGACGGAGTGCCATAGCGTGCGTGCAAGGGACAGGAGGAGGACGCGAACGAGGAACGCGACGAGCAGTGCGAACTGGCGAGACAGGACGAGACGCAGGCTTACGACGCTCTGTAAGACCGCCGGACTGCTCAGTGTAAGGAGAAGGAGTAGGCAATGGGGAGGCTGACAGTAACGACAGCTGCGACTGGTCAGGCGGTAGACACAGGAGGGGGGAGAGTAAGGCTAGAAGAAGACGGGACACCAAGAATCTGCTAAAGCAGGGGATCAAAGTACGGTCGCGGCCGCACAGTGCCTCCAGAACCTCCAGCTCCAGGGTCAACAACTCCACCTCCTGCAGCTCCAGCACCTCCCGCGCCAGTGCCTCCAACACCAGCTCCTCCAGCTCCAGCGCCTCCAGCTCCAGCGCCACCAGCGCAGGAGCCTCCAGCTCCAGCAGCTCCAGGCTCCGTAGGGTCTCCAGCTCCAGCGCCCCCAACACCACCTGTCACGGCAACTCCAGCACCCCTGGTACGAGCACCTCCAGGACCAGCTGCCGCAGAACCTCCAGTACCACCAGCTCCAGCAGTAACTCCAGCACCTCCAGCTCCAGCGTCTCCAGCGCCTCCAGGTCCGGAAGCTCCACTCCGAAGGTGTGCGCGCCGAACAAGCCACTCACGCAGCTGCTGCGGAGACAGTCGCGGCGAAGCACCAGCTGGACCTCCAGACGAAGCAGCACCCCGAGGCTCAGCACCCCCAGACTCCGCACCCTCCGACTCAGCAGCCCCAGGCTCAACACCCCCAGGCTCCACACCCGCAGGCTCAGCACCCCCAGGCTCCTCACCCCCAGGCTCAGCACCCCCAGACCCAGCACCCTCAGACTCCACACCCC